CAGGTCCAGAACCAGTTCCAGAACAGGTCCAGAACCAGTTCCACCCAGAACCAGAACCAATACAGGTCCAGAACCATTTCCACCGAGAACCAGAACCAATACAGGCCTAGAACCAGTTCCATCCAGGACCAGAACAGGTCCAGAACCAGTTCCACCCAGACCAGAACCAAGACAGGTCCAGAACCAGTTCCATCCAGGACCAGAACAGGTCCAGAACCAGTTCCATCCAGAACCAGAACCAATACAGGTCCAGAACCAGTTCCATCCAGGACCAGAACAGGTCCAGAACCAGTTCCACCCAGACCAGAACCAAGACAGGTTCAGAACCAGTTCCATCCAGGACCAGAACAGGTCCAGAACCAGTTCCACCCAGAACCAGAACCAATACAGGTCCAGAACCAGTTCCACCCAGAACCAGAACCAATACAGGTCCAGAACCTGTTCCATCCAGGACCAGAACCAATACAGGTCCAGAACCAGTTCCATGCAGGACCAGAACAGGTCCAGAACCAGTTCCACCCAGAACCAGAATCAATACAGGTCCAGAACCAGTTCCATCCAGAACCAGAACAGGTCCAATATGGATTTACAGAAGGTTCATAAAGTCCAGAACATGGATCAGTTGATTCCCATCAACCTGCTTTACGATTCCTCTAACCTCTTTTCCTATAATCTAGACCTGGTTTTATTCATCTGGACCTGGTTTTAACGATCCAGACCTGGTTTTAATGCCTGGTTTTACTGTTCTTGTTTTGGTTTTGATGATCCGGACCTGGATCAGAACTTTTTTGGAGATGTTCTGTGGGGGCTCGCTTCTGTTGGAGCCTAATGAGGATCTGGTTTCGCCCCGGTTCTGATCTCTGGTTAAAGGTGGTTATAAATGTGTTTATGGGGGTTTTTTTCTGAGAAGGTTCCAGTAAGTTTGGATGTTTTTGTTTCTCTGGGAAGGAAACAGAATCTGATGATGAACTCTGGGTAATTTACAGCTGACGTCATCAGGAAGTGAACTCACTGCGGTCACAATGATCCAGATTGACTGAGCTAGCAGGTGGCGCCATCATGAGGAGGAGAAGAACACTGCAGCCTGATAGAGGAAATGACTGTTGGAGTCATCAGGATGGCCACCAGAGGTCGCTGTCGGATCAGCCTTCTGTTCTCAGCAGTAGAAAAACATTTATTTAAGACAGAAGTTTCAGCGACCAGTTTGGGACCTAATCAATAAATACAGGGAAACCAGTTAAACCAGTACAATCAGCTATGGGTAGGAGGAATCTGGTTTGTTTACAGTTATAGAAAATCAGTTCCAGAATTAAACGGCACAGTTTAATATTGAAGCATTTATTTTGTTATCTTCAAGAAAAATGAGACCCAAAAATAAGACGATTAAAATCATCATTAGAAGCTTTTATGATGCAGCTGCTTCTGCAGGAATGGATCAGGAAGAACTGGACCAGGAGACCTGGATCAAACCCGGAGGATCCTTCAGCAGATCTTCCATGAATTTAAATCCTGATCCATGTTCTGGTGATGAGCCTAAAGCTGCAGTGCAGATGATCTGAACCAGAAGCTGACCTGGATGGACGCCTCCTGCTGCTCTGGGCTCATGGTGTCACCAAAGCCTTTGTTTTCCACCTTTTTCTCCTTATCTCCTCACTGGGTCTGGATCTCAGATCCAAACAGGCCTCAATGTTCTTCTGAAGGTTCTGGGATGGTTTCTGGTAGAATCTGTGATCATGACTGAGTTCAGCTGCTTGTTTCTGAATTAGGTTCATTTTTAAATATGTTTTATTTAAAATTCAGAACATTCAGAGGAACTCAGTGAAGGTCTCAGGAGAACATTTCAGACCTGATGGAGCCTGCAGCTGCCCACAGTGAGAACATCTGGAGGAACAATGGAAGACCACACGACCTGAGCTCCTCAGACAGAAATCAGCAGAAGAAGGTTTGGAGGGATCCAGAACCCGGTGATGTTTTCTTCATAGTCTCTGAGTTTCAATCTGGGAAAGCTTGAGTTCAGGCTCCATCATGGCTCCACACCAGCATGAAAATTGTGAAAAAAAATATAGACTAGTTCATCCTCCTGGATCTGACCCGGATCATCTGACCCGGTTCATCTAACCCAGATCATCCTCCTGTTGAAACAGGACATCAGGCTTCCCAGTTTATTTTTGTAAACACTTCTGGCAGTGATTTCAACAGAGCTCTAAAAGTAACATGGGAAAAAGATTTGGTCGTTTCTATTGAATTATTATTATTAATATGAATTATTATTGAACTATTATTAGCAGGCCGGTCTCCAGAGATGTCAGACTAACAGAAGCTTCTTCAGCTGTTCAGATGGAGACTCTTCAGGTTGCTGCAGGTCTAAAGGCTGTTAGGGGATTAATTCATCCCTGAAGCTACAGACTTTCTGGACCAGGATCCAGGGATTATAATCTGTGCCTCTCTATAAGATTTTATCCTCATGGTTAAAGCTTTAGCTAACCGGGTCCAGATGGCATCATGGTGGATGATGAGAAAGATGCTGCAGGATGGAGACTCAGATCTGACTAATGATGAGAAAAACCTTCAGATAAAAGAGAAGAAGAATAATGTTTCTGCATTATCACTCATTCCATGCAGTTTATCAGATGGTCTGGATTCTGCAGCCTTATTGCTGCTGAGCTGCATCCAGCAGAGTCTCTATAAATGTTCTGTGTCTCACTATGGGGGCAGGATGAATGGATGTTAAGGTTTGGATTAAAGGATTAAAGGATCGATTCTTCTGATATTAAAGGTTTTTCACTGAAGCTGCCAGAAGCTTTTTCTTTTTCTTTATTTTCTGACTCTGTTCTTTCTGCCACTGCTCCTCTAATTAGCTGCTGTTTGCTTTTGTTTATATTGTAAATTAGATCAAATGAAAAAGTTGGACTCTCCTGACTCGGAGGGTCTCCTTTGGTTCTGATTCGGGTTGCGGTTCCGGTCCTCCTGCGGTGCGGATCAGTGTCCGTGTTTTCCAGGTGTCTCGGTGCGTGGGGGGGCGTGTCTCCACCTGAGCTGCGGTTCTGCTCTGAAAGCTGAAGCGCAGCAGCAGCTACAGCGGTCCGACATGGAGAGGAAGACCCCCCCCAGAAAAACTCTCAGGACTCTGTTCTCCAGAACCGATCCTGATCAGGTTCTGGACGGGTCTGCGCAGAAGGAGGACAGGAAAAGGTTCAAGTTCCCAAAGTTGAAGATAAAGTCGAGGAAGGAGGCTGAGGCTCTGCAGGAGGTCAGGTAGGTTCTCCTGGTTCCGCCTGCAGGTTTCTTCTGGTTCTGCTGATCCAGAAGCTGCAGACCTTCGTGCTGGTCTCACTGTGCGCCCAGCAGCTGCTCCAGAACCAGAACCAGTAAGGCTGGTTCTGATGCTGCAGCCTGTGGAGGAGGTTCTGTTCTCCCAGTGGTTCAGCCCAAACTGGGCCAAGATGAGTCCAAATGACCTCCTAACGGAACCAAGGTCTGGTTCTGGAGAAGAGATGAAGGTGGAGGTTCTGCTGCAGGTCCTGATCCACACAGGAACCAGTCCAGGTGATGTGTGCTTCTGATTGGCACCAAAGGAGGAGTGAGGTTCTAGGTCTGTGAGAGCGGGATGACCCTTGACCTCTAAGGTTAGCTCAGCATTTAGTGAGCGCTGGGCTAACATCAACAGGAAGTGCGCGCTCTAAATGCCTGGTTATTATCCTCCTGCAGCAGTGAGTCGCATTGAGCTTGATGCAGACATTTTTGATTTATGCCAATATTAAAGCATGGTCTGCGCTATGTTATTCCACGCCACAACGCCAGAGGGCCAATCAGGAACCAGCTGTGGGTCTAAATACGGCTGAGGGGGTGAGGAAGGGGGGGCAAGTTTGTGCGACAGCGGAGGGACATGAGGGCCAAAAAGAGCAGGGATCCAGGTGGAAAAAGGGTCCCAGTGTTCTGGCGCACCTCGCTCTGCTAGCTGCTCCATCTTCAGTTGTTTCCCACAATTTCCACAGGGGCATCTGCCACATCATCACATGATTACATCATCACATGATTACATCATCACATCATCACATCATCACATGATTACATCATCACATCATTACATCATCACATCATCACATCATTACATCATCACATCATCACATCATTACATCATCACATCATCACATCATTACATCATCACATCATTACATCATCACATCATCACATCATTACATCATCACATCACATCATTACATCATCACATGATCACATCATTACATCATCACATCACATCATCACATCATCACATCATTACATCATTACATCATCACATCATCACATCATTACATCATTACATCATCACATCATTACATCATCACATCATCACATCATTACATCATCACATCATCACATCATTACATCATCACATCATTACATCATCACATCATTACATCATCACATCATTACATCATCACATCATCACATCATTACATCATCACATCATTACATCATCACATCATCACATCATCACATCATCACATCATTACATCATTACATCATCACATCATTACATCATCACATCATCACATCATTACATCATCACATCATCACATCATCACATCATCACATCATCACATCATTACATCATTACATCATCACATCATTACATCATTACATCATCACATCATTACATCATCACATCATCACATCATTACATCATCACATCATCACATCATTACATCATCACATCATTACATCATCACATCATTACATCATCACATCATTACATCATCACATCATTACATCATCACATCATCACATCATTACATCATCACATCATCACATCATTACATCATCACATCATTACATCATCACATCATTACATCATCACATCATCACATCATTACATTATCACATCATCACATCATTACATCATCACATCATCACATCATTACATCATCACATCATCACATCATCACATCATTACATCATCACATCATCACATCATCACATCATTACATCATCACATCATCACATCATTACATCATCACATCATTACATCATCACATCATTACATCATCACATCATCACATCATTACATTATCACATCATCACATCATTACATCATCACATCATTACATCATCACATCATTACATCATCACATCATCACATCATCACATCATTACATCATCACATCATTACATCATTACATCATTACATCATCACATCATTACATCATCACATCATCACATCATCACATCATTACATCATCACATCATTACATCATTACATCATTACATCATCACATCATTACATCATCACATCATTACATCATCCCATCATCACATCAAACGTGTTAGCAGATGAGGAGGCATCCATGGCTTATCGAAATATTCCACTTTGTTCTTAGCTGATGGACGTCGCTCTCATTCCCAACCCTTTTCCACGTGCAGAAAGAAGATTATAACTTTATATCCAGACAAACTAGCCTAATTAGATAAACTAGCGGGGAAAACATCAATACAGACAAACAGGCAGCTAATATTTTAATAAACTCACATCATCAATGATAATTATCTGAACACTCAACACCACGCTGGATGCATTTGATTCAGGTTTGAATGGCGCCATCTGCTGGATAGCTGGAGAACTACCTTTGAGCAGGTTTCCTGTCAGCATTAATTCATATTCCATAATAAAAATATTATAATACTGATAATCCAAAGGATTTGCTTTAAAAACGTCTGACTGGTGAAATAATGACGTCTAATTGGAAACGTTCCGAGCTGAATGGTGAGAAATTATCTGTAAAAACTGAACTTCAGGCAGTTTATGATAAACTGTTCATGAAAAGGGAAGCTGAGCTTCTGTAAAACAGGAAGCAGATGATCGCTTTATGGTTCAAAGACTTTTTATTAAAAAATAGAATCATCTGAACGGTGCCTGGCTCAAAGGCAGAGGAGGTTTTTCTAAAGCGGTTCAGGACAAAATTAGTTCTAAGGGCTTTACATGAAAACAGAAAATAAAATAAGAATAAAAACTAAACTAGCAGTTTATCTCCATCAGTCAAACGCGGCTCTAAACTAACCAGATCTGTGGAGCATAGATGCTGCTGGGAGTTTGTTCCAGATCTGTGGAGCATAGATGCTGCTGGGAGTTTGTTCCAGATCTGTGGAGCATAGATGCTGCTGGGAGTTTGTTCCAGATCTGTGGAGCATAGATGCTGCTGGGAGTTTGTTCCAGATCTGTGGAGCATAGATGCTGCTGGGAGTTTGTTCCAGATCCGTGGAGCATAGATGCTGCTTCTCCATGTTTGCTTCTAGTTCTGGGTGGACAGACTAGGCTGGATGTAGAAGACCTGAGTGGTCTGGGAGGTAGATCTACTGACAATAGATCTATTATGGATTGAGGTGCTGATCTATTCAGTGATTTCTAGACTGACAGAAGGATTGTAAATTCTATTCTTTGAGCGACAGGGAATGAGAGGAAGGACTTCAGTACCGGGCTGATGTGATCTACTTTCTATAGTTCTAGTGAGGACGCAGGCAGCAGCGTCTGGATCAGCTGTCTGATCTACTTTCTATAGTTCTAGTGAGGACGCAGGCAGCAGCGTCTGGATCAGCTGTCTGATCTACTTTCTATAGTTCTAGTGAGGACGCAGGCAGCAGCGTCTGGATCAGCTGTCTGATCTACTTTCTATAGTTCTAGTGAGGACGCAGGCAGCAGAGTCTGGATCAGCTGTCTGATCTACTTTCTATAGTTCTAGTGAGGACGCAGGCAGCAGCGTCTGGATCAGCTGTCTGATCTACTTTCTATAGTTCTACCTATGAAGACACTGTTGTAGTGATCAGTTCTACTATAGATATTTTTCTAGATCCTGCTGATCATCCTGGAGCTGTTCTTCAGGTGATCTGGATCAGTAACGGTCTTTCTGAGCCTCTTTAACCAGTTGTAGAAAATGATCCACAGATTGATCTGTTCTCAGCATCTAACCAACGCTCTGATGGGTCATAGTCACCTGCTGACAGAGGGATGCAAAGCTGAGTGTTGTCAGCATCGTCATGGTAACTGATTTGGTTGTTTGCTATAATCTGAGCCAAGGAGAGCGTGTAGATCTTGAATAGGAGTGGCCCTAGAATAGACTAAAACTGGAACCCGGAGAGACCAGAACCGATTGACCTAAACAGGAATCTGTGGCCAGGATTGTAGATCCTGATCGTATATCAGCTGCAGAGACTAGAAGACCTGGATCTGATTGTAGATCAGCTGCAGAGACTAGAGGACTTGGATCTGATCGTATATCAGCTGCAGAGACTAGAGGACTTGGATCTGATCGTATATCAGCTGCAGAGACTAGAGGACTTGGATCTGATCGTATATCAGCTGCAGAGACTAGAGGACCTGGATCTGATTGTAGATCAGCTGCAGAGACTAGAGGACTTGGATCTGATCGTATATCAGCTGCAGAGACTAGAGGACCTGGATCTGATTGTAGATCAGCTGCAGAGACTAGAGGACCTGGATCTGATTGTAGATCAGCTGCAGAGACTAGAGGACTTGGATCTGATCGTATATCAGCTGCAGAGACTAGAGGACTTGGATCTGATCGTATATCAGCTGCAGAGACTAGAGGACCTGGATCTGATTGTAGATCAGCTGCAGAGACTAGAGGACCTGGATCTGATTGTAGATCAGCTGCAGAGACTAGAGGACTTGGATCTGATTGTAGATCAGCTGCAGAGACTAGAGGACCTGGATCTGATTGTAGATCAGCTGCAGAGACTAGAGGACTTGGATCTGATCGTATATCAGCTGCAGAGACTAGAGGACTTGGATCTGATCGTATATCAGCTGCAGAGACTAGAGGACCTGGATCTGATCGTATATCAGCTGCAGAGACTAGAGGACCTGGATCTGATCGTATATCAGCTGCAGAGACTAGAGGACTTGGATCTGATCGTATATCAGCTGCAGAGACTAGAGGACCTGGATCTGATTGTAGATCAGCTGCAGAGACTAGAGGACCTGGATCTGATCGTATATCAGCTGCAGAGACTAGAGGACTTGGATCTGATCGTATATCAGCTGCAGAGACTAGAGGACCTGGATCTGATCGTATATCAGCTGCAGAGACTAGAGGACTTGGATCTGATCGTATATCAGCTGCAGAGACTAGAGGACCTGGATCTGATTGTAGATCAGCTGCAGAGACTAGAGGACCTGGATCTGATTGTAGATCAGCTGCAGAGACTAGAGGACTTGGATCTGATTGTATATCAGCTGCAGAGACTAGAGGACCTGGATCTGATTGTAGATCAGCTGCAGAGACTAGAGGACTTGGATCTGATTGTAGATCAGCTGCAGAGACTAGAGGACTTGGATCTGATCGTATATCAGCTGCAGAGACTAGAGGACCTGGATCTGATTGTAGATCAGCTGCAGAGACTAGAGGAACCTGGATCTGATTGCAGCTGTCAGCAGAAACCAGTCAGGGCAGCTGAGGAGTTTCCATCTTCTCCTTTGGTGATGCTGCAGAGCTGAAACCCAGAGCAGGACTTCAGACTCTGACCGTTTTAGTCGGGAAGGATTTACCTGTAATCCAGGTTGAGGAGCTGCTGTGACAGATGGAGGATTCCAGGCTGTGATGGATGAAGCTGCAGGTGTTGCTGCAGAACGTTCCTCTGGGGGTCACACCCACACTGACTCGGGTGTTTCAGGTGTTTCAGGGTGATGAAGGAACCTGCCTCTCTGCATGCCTGCTGCATTCACAGCTAACTAACAACCAGTGAGGAGATAAATCAGCCTTTGTTCCTCTGGTTAGTCACAGTTTCTGCGATCCTTCTGCTGTCAGCTGACTGATTTACAGTCAGTCACTTTGTTCAGGAATAAACTGAGCTCCTCATCATCCTCACTGTGCAGAGAGGAATGCTCCTGGCAGCAGCTCTAAGCTGCCATGGAGGCTCAAGCTCTGACAGAAGATCCATCAAAGCAAACTGAGCGCTGAAGGAAAACTGCAGCTATTATTTAGAGCAATGAGTTTGACGCTGAGAAAACTTCACTCTGTGAGTTTACTGAGCTGTGATCCACGGCTGCTCATTAACTTTATGGCCTTCAGCTGCCATGAAACAACCGTGCAAACATTGCTAGCAGATAAGACCCAGCAGCACGGGTGGGGGGGTCCTAGTCCCATTCTGTCCTCTACGTGCAGTTCTGGTCCAAAGATTAGTCATGCAGGGCAAGTCAGGAGCTGCCTGCTTTAGATCTGTGAAGGTGGAGCTGGTTTAGGTCTGGGAAGGTGGAGCTGGTTTAGGTCTGTGAAGGTGGAGCTGATTTAGGTCTGTGAAGGTGGAGCTGGTTTAGGTCTGTGAAGGTGGAGCTGGTTTAGGTCTGTGAAGGTGGAGCTGGTTTAGGTCTGTGAAGGTGGAGCTGGTTTAGGTCTGAGAAGGTGGAGCTGGTTTAGGTCTGTGAAGGTGGAGCTGGTTTAGGTCTGTGAAGGTGGAGCTGGTTTAGGTCTGTGAAGGTGGAGCTGGTTTAGGTCTGAGAAGGTGGAGCTGGTTTAGGTCTGGGAAGGTGGAGCTGGTTTAGGTCTGAGAAGGTGGAGCTGGTTTAGGTCTGGGAAGGTGGAGCTGGTTTAGGTCTGTGAAGGTGGAGCTGGTTTAGGTCTGTGAAGGTGGAGCTGGTTTAGGTCTGAGAAGGTGGAGCTGGTTTAGGTCTGGGAAGGTGGAGCTGGTTTAGGTCTGAGAAGGTGGAGCTAGTTTAGGTCTGTGAAGGTGGAGCTGGTTTAGGTCTGTGAAGGTGGAGCTGGTTTAGGTCTGGGAAGGTGGAGCTGGTTTAGGTCTGTGAAGGTGGAGCTGGTTTAGGTCTGTGAAGGTGGAGCTGGTTTAGGTCTGTGAAGGTGGAGCTGGTTTAGGTCTGAAGGTGGAGCTGGTTTAGGTCTGTGAAGGTGGAGCTGCTTTAGATCTGTGAAGGTGGAGCTGGTTTAGGTCTGTGAAGGTGGAGCTGGTTTAGGTCTGAGAAGGTGGAGCTGGTTTAGGTCTGAGAAGGTGGAGCTGGTTTAGGTCTGTGAAGGTGGAGCTGGTTTAGGTCTGAGAAGAGCTGGTTTAGGTCTGAGAAGGTGGAGCTGGTTTAGGTCTGAGAAGAGCTGGTTTAGGTCTGAGAAGGTGGAGCTAGTTTAGGTCTGTGAAGGTGGAGCTGGTTTAGGTCTGAGAAGGTGGAGCTGGTTTAGGTCTGTGAAGGTGGAGCTGGTTTAGGTCTGTGAAGGTGGAGCTGGTTTAGGTCTGAGAAGGTGGAGCTGGTTTAGGTCTGGGAAGGTGGAGCTGGTTTAGGTCTGTGAAGGTGGAGCTGGTTTAGGTCTGAGAAGGTGGAGCTGGTTTAGGTCTGTGAAGGTGGAGCTGGTTTAGGTCTGAGAAGGTGGAGCTGGTTTAGGTCTGTGAAGGTGGAGCTGGTTTAGGTCTGAGAAGAGCTGGTTTAGGTCTGAGAAGGTGGAGCTAGTTTAGGTCTGTGAAGGTGGAGCTGGTTTAGGTCTGAGAAGGTGGAGCTGGTTTAGGTCTGGGAAGGTGGAGCTGGTTTAGGTCTGTTAAGGTGGAGCTGGTTTAGGTCTGAGAAGGTGGAGCTGGTTTAGGTCTGAGAAGGTGGAGCTGGTTTAGGTCTGAGAAGAGCTGGTTTAGGTCTGAGAAGGTGGAGCTAGTTTAGGTCTGTGAAGGTGGAGCTGGTTTAGGTCTGAGAAGGTGGAGCTGGTTTAGGTCTGGGAAGGTGGAGCTGGTTTAGGTCTGGGAAGGTGGAGCTGGTTTAGGTCTCTGAAGGTGGAGCTGCTTTAGATCTGTGAAGGTGGAGCTAGTTTAGGTCTGTGAAGGTGGAGCTGGTTTAGGTCTGTGAAGGTGGAGCTGGTTTAGGTCTGTGAAGGTGGAGCTGGTTTAGGTCTGTGAAGGTGGAGCTGGTTTAGGTCTGAGAAGGTGGAGCTGGTTTAGGTCTGAGAAGGTGGAGCTGGTTTAGGTCTGTGAAGGTGGAGCTGGTTTAGGTCTGAGAAGAGCTGGTTTAGGTCTGAGAAGGTGGAGCTGGTTTAGGTCTGAGAAGAGCTGGTTTAGGTCTGAGAAGGTGGAGCTAGTTTAGGTCTGTGAAGGTGGAGCTGGTTTAGGTCTGAGAAGGTGGAGCTGGTTTAGGTCTGTGAAGGTGGAGCTGGTTGGTTTAGGTCTGTGAAGGTGGAGCTGGTTTAGGTCTGAGAAGGTGGAGCTGGTTTAGGTCTGGGAAGGTGGAGCTGGTTTAGGTCTGTGAAGGTGGAGCTGGTTTAGGTCTGAGAAGGTGGAGCTGGTTTAGGTCTGTGAAGGTGGAGCTGGTTTAGGTCTGAGAAGAGCTGGTTTAGGTCTGAGAAGGTGGAGCTGGTTTAGGTCTGAGAAGAGCTGGTTTAGGTCTGAGAAGGTGGAGCTAGTTTAGGTCTGTGAAGGTGGAGCTGGTTTAGGTCTGAGAAGGTGGAGCTGGTTTAGGTCTGGGAAGGTGGAGCTGGTTTAGGTCTGTGAAGGTGGAGCTGGTTTAGGTCTGAGAAGGTGGAGCTGGTTTAGGTCTGAGAAGGTGGAGCTGGTTTAGGTCTGAGAAGAGCTGGTTTAGGTCTGAGAAGGTGGAGCTAGTTTAGGTCTGTGAAGGTGGAGCTGGTTTAGGTCTGAGAAGGTGGAGCTGGTTTATGTCTGTGAAGGTGGAGCTGGTTTAGGTCTGGGAAGGTGGAGCTGGTTTAGGTCTGTGAAGGTGGAGCTGGTTTAGGTCTGAGAAGGTGGAGCTGGTTTAGGTCTGTGAAGGTGGAGCTGGTTTAGGTCTGAGAAGAGCTGGTTTAGGTCTGAGAAGGTGGAGCTGGTTTAGGTCTGAGAAGAGCTGGTTTAGGTCTGTGAAGGTGGAGCTGGTTTAGGTCTGAGAAGGTGGAGCTGGTTTAGGTCTGAGAAGGTGGAGCTGGTTTAGGTCTGAGAAGAGCTGGTTTAGGTCTGAGAAGGTGGAGCTAGTTTAGGTCTGTGAAGGTGGAGCTGGTTTAGGTCTGAGAAGGTGGAGCTGGTTTATGTCTGTGAAGGTGGAGCTGGTTTAGGTCTGGGAAGGTGGAGCTGGTTTAGGTCTGTGAAGGTGGAGCTGGTTTAGGTCTGAGAAGGTGGAGCTGGTTTAGGTCTGTGAAGGTGGAGCTGGTTTAGGTCTGAGAAGAGCTGGTTTAGGTCTGAGAAGGTGGAGCTGGTTTAGGTCTGAGAAGAGCTGGTTTAGGTCTGAGAAGGTGGAGCTGGTTTAGGTCTGAGAAGGTGGAGGTTCCTCGTTGTTTACGTAGAGATCTGCGTTGACCTTTTTAGATGTGATTGGTCGGATGGTGATGTCAGAGCAGAGGAGGAAGTAGCGAGCATCACGCCGTCGTGTGGAAACGGCTGAACTGTGTTCGGTTTTTGCTTCGCCACTTTTCATCACCTGCGCAGCAAACGGCCACTTCCTGTTGCAGGAAGTCACCTGTGGCAGGTAGAGGCAGGGAGGGTCAGTCTGGAAACCCGGAGGCTGCAGCCGGACCTGAACATTCATCACCTGCTGCTGTTTGTTCTGCTGATCCATAAACATTCCTGTTCCTGGAAGGCGGTCGGCAGGAAACGGGATCAACATTCCGACCCGCTCCATAGAGCAGCCGGCCATGTCGCCATGGAAACCCAGTTCCAGTCTGGGTTTTGTGCCATGGCGATACTGGATCAATCTTTTAATCTAGGTTAGTATAGATCCAAGAAAAAAAGAATCCTATACTTTGGGAAAAAGACAGAACTTAATCCACCGTCAGTAAAAAAAACTGGAATAAAATATGAGGGACAGGTCCGTCCGTCTGTCCGTCCCTCCCTCCCTCCCTCCCCCCCAGTGAGGTCCTGTTCTGGTCCAGTTCTATATTCCAGTCTTCTTAGGGTCCAGCAGGCCAGAAGCTTCAGACTGTCCAGTCTTCCAGAGGTTCTCCTCAGGTGAAACACCTGCAGATGTTGGATCTGACGTGATGCTGTCTCCCTCAGGGCTGCGGAGTGCAGGACGGGTCCAGAGGACGGACAGGCCCACAGAATCGTCTCTGTGAAGAAGTCTTCTTCTGTCTTTGCTGTGGAGTTCAGAGGAAAGGTCAGTGGAGCTGATTCCATCTGTTGCTTTGAATGTCGGAACAGGAAGGAGTTTCCTTCTTCCAACCAGGAGGAGCAGAAACTCCTGGAATATTCCTGTTGACATTAACGGTTCCTCTGCTGCTTGGTGTCTCCATGGATGGAGGATCTACCTTCAGGAAGCAGTTCCACCTGAGATCACTCTAATGAAGGAAGTGGCCCAGCACTCTGTCATCGTTTTGTTCTCCTGTTCTCCTCCTTTCCTTTCCTTCAGCTGCTCTCAGACCTTCTGGCAGATTTAGACTTTTCTTCCCAAACTTCTCTGAACAAGAAGAGTCTAAAGTTTAGAGGGAGGTTCTGATCCGTCCTGGTTCATGGATCCTGAGCCCCTCAGGGTTCTGGCTGCAGAACTCTCCCATGTTCAGGTGGTCCATGAAGGATGGAGATGGCTGGACAATAACAATGATCCTGAGTTCTCCTCTGGTTCTGCTCAGGTTCTGTCAGACCCGTTTACTCCATTCCTGATTGTAAAGCGGACCTGCGGCTGATTGCAGGTTTTACAGGTGCTGGTCATAAAATTAGAATATCATGAAAAAGTAGATTGATTTCAGTAATTCCATTTAAAAAGTGAAACTTGTATATTATATTCCTACATTACATACAAACTCATATATTTCAGATGTTTATTTTGTTTAATTTTGATGATTACAAATGACAACAAATGAAAATCTCAAATTCATCATATCAGAAAATTAGAATATTACTGAAGACCAATAAAACAAAGGATTTATAGAAATGTTGGCCAACTGAAAAGTATGAACATGAAAAGTATGAGCATGTACAGCACTCAGTATTTAGTTGGGCCTCCTTTGGCCTGTATTACTGCAGCAATGCGGCGTGGCATGGAGTCGATCAGTCTGTGGCACTGCTCAGGTGTTATGATAGCCCAGGTTGCTCTAATAGTGGCTTTTAGCTCTTCTGAATTGTTGGGTCTGGTGTATTGCATCTTCTTCTTCACAATACCCCATAGATTTTCTATGGGGTTAAGGTCAGGAGAGTTTGCTGGCCAATTAAGAACAGGGATACCATGGTCCTTCAACCAGGTACTGGTAGCTTTGGCACTGTGTGCAGGTGCCAAGTCCTGTTGGAAAATGAAATCTGCATCTCCAAAAAGTTGGTCAGCTGCAGGAAGCATGAAGTGCTCTAAAACTTCCTGGTATGTGGCTGCGTTGACCCTGGACCTCAGAAAACACAATGGACCAACACCAGCAGATGACATGGCACCCCAAACCATCACTGACTGTGGAAACTTTACACTGGACTTCAAGCAACGTGGATGAAGTGCCTCTCTTCTTTTCCTCCAGACTCTGGGACCTTGATTTCCAAAGGAAATGCAAAATTTACTTTCATCAGAGAACATGACTTTGGACCACTCACCAGCAGTCCAGTCCTGTTTCTCTTTAGCCCAGGCAAGACGCTTCTGACGCTGTCTGTGGTTCAAGAGTGGCTTGACACAAGGAATGCGACAGCAGAAACCCATGTCTTTCATACGTCTGTGTGTGGTGGTTCTTGAAGCACTCACTCCAGCTGCAGTCCACTCTTTGTGAATCTCCCCCACATTTTTGAAGGGGTTTTGTTTCACAATCCTCTCCAGGGTGCGGTTATCTCTCTTGCTTGTACACTTTTTTCGACCACATCTTTTCCTTCCCTTCGCCTCTCTATTAATGTGCTTGGACACTGAGCTCTGTGAACAGCCAGCCTCTTTAGCGATGACCTTTTGTGTCTTGCCCTCCTTGTGCAAGGTGTCGATGGTCGTCTTTTGGACAACTGTCAAGTCAGCAGTCTTCCCCATGATTGTGTAGCCTATAGAACTAGACTGAAAGACCATTTAAAGGCTTTTGCAGGTGGTTTGAGTTAATTAGCTGATTAGAGTGTGGCACCAGGGGCCATCAATTTTGAACCTTTTCACAATATTCTAATTTTCTGATATGATGAATTTGAGATTTTCATTTGTTGTCATTTGTAATCATCAAAATTAAACAAAATAAACATCTGAAATATATGAGTTTGTATGTAATGTATGAATATAATATACAAGTTTCACTTTTTAAATGGAATTACTGAAATCAATCTACTTTTTAATGATATTCTAATTTTATGACCAGCACCTGTATCTTTTGCTGGTCTCAGATCTTTTTTAGAACTTGAGTTACTTTCAGCTCAGAGTTTGTCCAGCAGAGGGCGACAGAGCTTAGCTTTAGGTGTAGCTGGGAGCTGTGGTTCTGATGGAGAAGGTATGGGTCGGCTCAGACAGCAGCAGCCTCAACATTAAGTTAGATTTTCTGCAGTTTCAGCATCAAATGAAGCAGCATGAACTCTGACCTTCTGCCACATTTAGGCCTGCCTCCTTTGTGCAGAATATTAGTGAGCTGCTGACGCTGGTGAACCAGCAGCCGTGAGCACCATCAGGCCAGCGAACGCAGAGCTTCATTTGGGTTTTCCTGCCCTGATCTGAACCAGTCAGAACTGAACCGGATCAGGTGGCTTTAGGTCCTCAGAACCTCCTTCCTGACCTGCAGCAGTTTCAGGTCAGAAGGTAGGAAGGAGTGGCGTCTGGGTCAGAACTTCCTGGGCAGCTTCAGAACCAGCAGCAGCTGGTTGAAAGGAGGAAGTAGAATCCTTCTGTCATTGGTTCTGCTCTGACCGCAGCAGATCATGTTCAACCAGTCCATCATTCCTCTGAGGGTGGAGCAGCTTCCTCCACCTGGAATGAGGTTCTAGACCTCTGCTCCTTTGTTTGGCTTTAGCTCCGCCTCCTCTGGTTCTGGTTGGTTTACATTTATCTGCAGAAGAAGAAAGTTCCTCATGCATTTCATTTCACTGATGTCTGGTACTGTCACTCATTGATGACACAAATCCTTCCTTCCTTCCTTCCTTCCTTCCTTCCTTCCTTTCTTCCTTCCTTTCTTCCTTCCTTCCTTCCTTCCTTCCTTCCTTTCTTCCTTCCTTCCTTCCTTCCTTCCTTCCTTCCTTCCTTCCTTTCTTCCTTCCTTCCTTCCTTCCTTCCTTCCTTCCTTCCTTTCTTCCTTCCTTTCTTCCTTCCTTCCTTCCTTCCTTCCTTCCTTTCTTCCTTCCTTCCTTCCTTCCTTCCTTCCTTCCTTCCTTCCTTCCTTCCTTCAGGCCAAAGAGTTCAGCTACTCCGAATTGGACCTCAGAAAACCCAAACGTTTCGCTACGTTCTCCTTCGGTCTGAGGAGGAGGAAGAGGAGGGATGAGGAGAACCTGTCAAAGAGCGCCTTTGGCCTGCACAGCTCCAGCACCGACATGCAGGAGGAGGTAACATCTTCACACACTTCTGTCAGGTCCATGTTTCTTCGTCTTACCGCACATTAAAAAATAACTAATGGTCCATCAGTCGTCCATCAATGGTCCATCAGTCGTCCATCAATGGTCTATCAATAGTCCATCAGTCGTCCATCAATGGTCTATCAATGGTCTATCAATAGTCCATCAGTCGTCCATCAATGGTCCATCAGTCGTCCATCAATGGTCTATCAATAGTCCATCAGTCGTCCATCAATAGTCCATCAATTGTCTATCAATAGTCCATCAGTCGTCCATCAATGGTCCATCAGTCGTCCATCAATGGTCCATCAGTCGTCCATCAATGGTCCATCAGTCGTCCATCAATGGTCTATCAATAGTCCATCAGTCGTCCATCAATAGTCCATCAATTGTCTATCAATAGTCCATCAGTCGTCCATCAATGGTCCATCAGTCGTCCATCAATGGTCTATCAATAGTCCATCAGTCGTCCATCAATAGTCCATCAATTGTCTATCAATAGTCCATCAGTCGTCCATCAATGGTCTATCAATAGTCCATCAGTCGTCCATCAATGGTCTATCAATGGTCTATCAATAGTCCATCAGTCGTCCATCAATGGTCCATCAGTCGTCCATCAATGGTCTATCAATAGTCCATCAGTCGTCCATCAATAGTCCATCAATTGTCTATCAATAGTCCATCAGTCGTCCATCAATGGTCTATCAATAGTCCATCAGTCGTCCATCAATAGTCCATCAATTGTCTATCAATAGTCCATCAGTCGTCCATCAATGGTCTATCAATTGTCTATCAATAGTCCATCAGTCGTCCATCAATAGTCCATCAGTCGTCCATCAATGGTCCATCAGTCGTCCATCAATAGTCCATCAGTCGTCCATCAATGGTCCATCAGTCGTCCATCAATGGTCCATCAATGGTCCATCAATGGTCCATCAGTCGACCATCAATAGTCCATCAATAGTCCATCAATTGTCTATCAATAGTCCATCAATAGTCCATCAGTCGTCCATCAATGGTCCATCAGTCGTCCATCAATGGTCCATCAATGGTCTATCAATAGTCAATCAGTCATCCATCAATGGTCCATCAGTCGTCCATCAATGGTCCATCAGTCGTCCATCAAGGGTCCATCAATAGTCCATCAATAGTCCATCAATTGTCTATCAATAGTCCATCAGTCGTCCATCAATGGTCCATCAGTTGTCTATCAATAGTCCATCAGTCGTCCATCAATGGTCCATCAATTGTCTATCAATAGTCCATCAGTTGTCCATCAATGGTCTATCAATTGTCTATCAATAGTCCATCAATTGTCTATCAATAGTCCATCAGTCGTCCATCAATAGTCCATCAGTCGTCCATCAATAGTCCATCAATAGTCCATCAAGGGTCCATCAATGGTCCATCAATGGTCCATCAGTCGTCCATCAATAGTCCATCAATGGTCTATCAATAGTCCATCAGTAGTCCATCAGTCGTCCATCAATGGTCCATCAATAGTCCATCAATAGTCCATCAAGGGTCCATCAATAGTCCATCAATAGTCCATCAAGGGTCCATCAATAGTCCATCAATAGTCCATCAATGGTCCATCAATAGTCCATCAATGGTCCATTAATAGTCCATCAGTGGTCCATCAGTGGTCCATCAATGGTCCATCAATGGTCCATCAATGGTCCACCAGTGGTCCATCAATGGTCCATCAATAGTCCATCAATGGTCCATCAATGGTCCATCAGTCGTCCATCAATGGTCCATCAATGGTCCATCAATGGTCTATCAATAGTCCATCAATGGTCTATCGATAGTCCATCAGTCGTCCATCAATGGTCCATCAATGGTCTATCAATAGTCCATCAATGGTCCATCAATGGTCCATCAGTCGTCCATCAATAGTCCATCAATGGTCCATCAATGGTCCATCAATAGTCCATCAGTCGTCCATCAATAGTCCATCAATTGTCCATCAATGGTCCATCAGTCGTCCATCAATAGTCCATCAATTGTCCATCAATGGTCCATCAGTCGTCCATCAATAGTCCATCAATGGTCCATCAATGGTCCATCAATGGTCCATCAGTCGTCCATCAATAGTCCATCAATGGTCCATCAATGGTCCATCAATAGTCCATCAGTCGTCCATCAATGGTCCATCAATGGTCTATCAATAGTCCATCAATGGTCCATCAATGGTCCATCAGTCGTCCATCAATAGTCCATCAATGGTCCATCAATAGTCCATCAGTCGTCCATCAATAGTCCATCAATTGTCCATCAATAGTCCATCAGTCGTCCATCAATAGTCCATCAATTGTCCATCAATGGTCCATCAGTCGTCCATCAATAGTCCATCAGTCGTCCATCAATAGTCCATCAATGGTCCATCAATGGTCCATCAGTCGTCCATCAATAGTCCATCAATTGTCCATCAATGGTCCATCAGTCGTCCATCAATAGTCCATCAATGGTCCATCAATGGTCCATCAATGGTCCATCAATGGTCCATCAATGGTCCATCAATGGTCCATCAGTCGTCCATCAATAGTCCATCAATTGTCCATCAATGGTCCATCAGTCGTCCATCAATAGTCCATCAATGGTCCATCAATGGTCCATCAGTCGTCCATCAATAGTCCATCAATGGTCCATCAACAGTCCATCAACGGTCCATCAGTCGTCCATCAATAGTCCATCAATAGTCCATCAATGGTCCATCAATGGTCCATCAATGGTCCATCAGTCGTCCATCAAAGCACCCCATGAATAATCGTGTATATTCAAATGATCAGCGGATGAATGTTATTTTCAGTATTACCATGGCAACCACCAGGAGGAGAGCTAAAAATACAGTTTCACTGAGGTAGTTTTGGTGATTGAGGAGGAGGGAATCCATTCCAGGGGCGCCGCTGTCCTGCAGGTTTTCCATGTTTCCGCAGCTTCCTCAGCTCAGCTGATTCTGATGACTGATGTTCAGCAAAGGCCTGATAATCAGCTATCAATGCAAATCAGCTGCAGCAGGAAACGTCCAAAAGCTGCAGGACAGCGGGTTCGGACAGGCCTGCTTTACAGCAGTTTGAAGGATTTACGTGATTCTCGCAAAATGCTATTTTGTAGCTCCTATTCCTGACTCCTCCTCTTCCTTCGGCTCTTTCTCCTTCCCTGGTTCAGCAGTAGAACTCCATCCAGGGTGGGAAAGGAGCTCCAGCCTGCTGATCTGAACCCAGATGGCCTCCAGCCTTACATTATGGGATGGAAAGGCTCATGGTTAATGCAGGTCAACCAAAGAACTACAAAACCCAAAGTTCTCCAATGTGTTGAACATCTGAAGCTCTGATCTAAAACCCAAACATCTGAAGCTGTGAGCATCAGCATGAGTCAAACAGAGAACAGGAAGGGGCGTGCTTTGGTGGAGCAGTGGTTAGCGCACACCACCCATGTATGGAGGCCTTAGTCCTTGACGCGTCCGAACCTGGAGAGTGAAGCTCCTCAGAGTGAAGCTCCAGAACCTCCTAAGGAGCTTCTGATCCCTGAATCGGAGCCCGGCTCCTCCGTCTGCAGCAGACGGACCTCAGCAGAGGGTTCAGTCTCCCTGACCTCAGCGGGCGCCTCTGAACCGCGCCGTCCTTCCAGCAGCCAGGATCCCGTGTTTGGACCTTTTTATGAGGTCACTTCCTTCCTGCTACAACCTGCAGCTCTGAGCCCAAACGGACTTCCTGCCTCCCGGGCAGAACCGGTTCTGGAGCAGACCTCCTCTAAGGTCCAGCAGCCCAGAGACCAGGAAGGAGAAGCTGAGGAGGATTGAACAGAAACAGGAAGTAATTTTCTCTCAGCACAGCGACTGAGGAGGAGAGCAGGAGAAGCCTTCCTCTGGTTAGGGTCATTAAATAACAGCGGCGTCTAAAGAGCCTTGATTATTTAGGGCTGAAGCAATGAAATAGAAGTTCAGTCAGCAGGAATAATCAATGGATCATTATTTATACCTTTAATACGTTCGCGGTGATTCAATTAATTTAGCGGTCATCTGTAAAAATTTAAAACAATATTTTCATCTCGATCACTGAGTCTGGGAGCGGCCATTTTTGCCCAAATATAGTAGCCCCTCCCTCCTGCCATCTTCCAGCAGTGACGTCACGGTGCGGTAAGCCTAGCGCCATTCTCCCCGCTTTCCAAGCTAAATCAATGGGAACTACTAGACACATCTGCAATCAACAACAATTATTGAAGATTTCCAGAGGACTTCACCATTGAAATTCACCAGAGCTATAGTGAAACTGACAATGCCCACGTGCATGGCAGCTGGATGCTGGAATACATCGGGTAAAAGTGAAAAAAAGAGTTATTCCACCTTTCTGATTCCTGATCCTCCACGGACGGGTTGGTCGTTGGATCGCCAACTTGAAGAGGGAGGATTTGCCATCGAACTTCTGGCCAGAGAAAAAACCCGTAATATGTAGCCAACATTTGGAAGAAGAATGTTTTCAAGATGACTTGGATAATAGCGCGTTGTGACAAACACCAGATACAGCACTGGGACTTGATCAACAGCCGATACCGCACCGTGACGTCACTAACCAGTAGGTGGCAGTAGTGTTAGTAGTGTAGTATTTAATAACTTCATGTTTAAAGAACTTTCAGAAGTTTGCATTCTGAATATGAGCGACTTTTCCATTAAACTTATTTCCAATTCTCCCAACAAGATGAGATCCCAGTAAAAAGCAGGAGGAACGGAGAGCTGAGCGACGTTCACCTGAGCTTCAGGTAACCTCTGGATGATGGAGGAGAGCAGGACTCTGAGCCTCTGCTGCGTCTGTTAAAGATCAGGTCTTTCCTAAAGCAGCCAATCAGAGAAGAGCTGAAGCTGCAGCCAGTTTTTCTCTATGAACCTTGATCATCTTCTAGATATGGCAGGAGGCCCAAAGCTCCGCCTCCCGCTCCTCGGATTCTGGTTTACCTTTCATCTGTTCACCATTTTATGTTTCTTCATCTGTCTTATATAACCACTTCAGAAAAAAGATTTAAGCAATAAAATAAATTCTAAATATCTCCTGTCAGCTTCACCAACAGCAAAGACTGAGGTTCATTAAACCCTGGGAGCCGAGCATGTCGGGGCCTGTTGCCGTGGGTTACAGCTTCTAATATGCAAATTGTCATGCTGTGGGATCAGCCTAGGCTCTGATGCTTTATCTGTGGATGTCAGAGCGGGCCGGACTCCTCCCAGAGACATGGGGCCGAAGACTGCAGGTCGGATTCGAACCCGGGACGCCAGCTTCGAGGACTAAGGCCTCCGTACACGGGTCTTGCACGCTAACTAGAAACATTTCAAAGAGCAATGGCGACGCAGCGCTTCAATAGTTCCAGGGAGGTTAGCTCCTCATGCTAGCATTGCTAAACTACAGGAAATAGACAGCGGAGCTTACATATCCCATCATGCTCTCTGCTTCTACCTGAAATGGGGAAATAATCATAAATCAAATGTTTGAGATGAATTAAAGAGTTTATGATGTCAGGTCAGTATTTACTAAACTCCCATCATGTTAGCAGATTTATTCATGTTGTTTTTCTCCTCTTGGTTGGTCACTATGACAGAACCAGTCACACTCAGAACCAGCTGGGAGGATGGCCCCTTGGCCTGGGGCCCCAAAAAATCTAAATCCGTCCCTGTTTGGGGCCCTGGGCTCCTCAGGGATCCTCCGGATGGAGGAGCTCTGCTGGACCAGCAGGGTTCTGGTGGACTGTAGATCTGAACCTCTCCCTGATTTCCACAGACTCCCGTCTCCTGTCTGGACCTGGATCAGACCCGCAGGAAGGTGCAGCTCAGTTTGTCTCAGCCTGAGCTGGACACCAGCGGGACGTTTGACATCCCGTCTCCTCCTCCTCCCTCCTCTAACCGATCCCAGGCGTCCTCCTCTGTCTCTATCGGATCGCCCTTCACCTCACAGAACGGCTCCGAATCAGAGGGAACGCCAAGAGCTCCCATCGCCTCCATCCCAGAGCTTCAGCTGGAGGACACTGCGTCTTCAGAAGAACCGGAGAACCTACCTGGTCCTGCTGATCAAATGCAGACCTCCTCAGATGTTCCCAGGCAGGCAGAACTGGTCCTCCAGAACTGCAGCCCCAACATTTCTGCTCCTCCTCAGAGTCCCGGTTCTCCGAGACCCCGGGAACATCATGGCGGTTCGGTTCCTTCCCACCCGCAGACCGTGGTTCTGACTCCAGCTGTCTGTGAGGAGCAGAGGCAGAACTCTGCTGCTCCTCAGAGTGAAGCTCCAGAACCTCCTAAGGAGCTTCTGATCCCTGAATCGGAGCCCGGCTCCTCCGTCTGCAGCAGACGGACCTCAGCAGAGGGTTCAGTCTCCCTGACCTCAGCGGGCGCCTCTGAACCGCGCCGTCCTTCCAGCAGCCAGGATCCCGTGTTTGGACCTTTTTATGAGGTCACTTCCTTCCTGCTACAACCTGCAGCTCTGAGCCCAAACGGACTTCCTGCCTCCCAGGCAGAACCGGTTCTGGAGCAGAACTCCTCTAAGCATCCCACCTGCCTAGACTCCCCTGCAGGTTATCCCGGTTCTGGTGAAAGCGGTGCGAGCTGTGCTCCCCAGGTCCAGGTCCGGGGGTGGTCCTCAGAACCGACCGCTTCCTGTTCGCACAGCAGAGGCCTTGTTCCGGACCCGGTGGCCTCTCCTGTTTCAGGAAGGTCTCTGGGGACGGGCTCTCGGGTTTCCTGCAGTAAGCGGCGGGTGGTTCTGGTCAGGCAGTCCTTCGCCGCCGACTCCTCGCCTGCGGAGCTCGGAATGAACTTCCAGGAAATGATCTCCCAGAGTTTCTGTGAGCCTCCTGGATGGACGGACGGTTCGGACAGAACTCTGAGTCCGGCCTACCTGAGCTTAGGATCAGACGAAGGCAGCGCCACCGAGGTTTACTACAGCGCTCCAGAGGAGGAGGAGGAGGAGGAGGAGGAGGGAGCGCAGCAGCCTGGGGGGGGGCTGACTGCTGGGACACTGAGGGGGGGGGGCTGACACTTCTGAAGGAGGGGGGTCAGAAGGTCAGCTGCTGCTTCAGGGAAGCTCTGGGTTCATCCTGAGATCGACTCCTCAGATTGAGGGGAGAGAAGAAAGCGGCTGTGTTCAGGAGGGGGGGCGCAGTGGGGATGGGGGGAGGGAGGAGCTACCTGTCCCACCGGTTCTACAGGTAAACGAGCCGAAGGAATGTGACTCGGAGCCGCCCTCCTCCGATCCAGAGCAGGGAAACCGGGCCGCAGACCTGGAAACTGGAGCTCTCTGCAGGGGGGGGCAGAGCCTGCAGGGGAACCTTCTAGATCCTGACGTCAGGAGAACCCAGGAACCTGAGGAGCAGCTCCCAGTCCAGGCAGGAGAGGAAGAGGAGCGCGCCTTCCTCGTCCCTGCAGCAGCAGGACGGATACCTGACGCTGCTGCTGAGGGGGCGGGGACCATGACTCAGAGCCGCCACTCAAACGCTGCAACGCAGCAGCAGGAGTCAGACGAGCCGTCGGCAGCCCGACCACACGGACCTCCTGCCCTGCATCCAGGTCACCGCCGCCTCAGGTGAGTTTATCCTCACATCCAGTCCAGACCGGTTCTGATCCACCGAGCTGATGCAGCAGCAGCCCAGAACTGGATCTATAAAGTAGATCAACAAACTTAGAATGTAGCATCTAGAATGTATTACATGCATATCAATGAACTGACCGTGTGTGGGGGGGTCGTCCAGTTCTGGACCCCTGCATGGTTCACAACATCCCAGTGAGGAAGAGGAGGCTTAGCCGCAGTTCTATAGAACTCTGGCAGGACGTCAGCATTTATCTTCATTTGGATTCTCTAGTTCAGAAGATCCAGGAGGGTCTGATGGATCCAGGAGGGTCTGATGGATCCAGGAGGGTCTGATGGATCCAGGAGGGTCTGATGGATCCAGGAGGGTCTGATGGATCCAGGAGGGTCTGATGGATCCAGGAGGGTCTGATGGATCCAGGAGGGTCTGATGGATCAATCTGATCCATGAAACCAGGGAAGTGGATCAATCTGTTGTTTCCTGGTAACGTTTGAAATGTTTTTTCTTTCTCTGGTTCCATTAAATCTGCATCTTAGTCCAGAAATAATCTTCATTCCTTCTCCTAACAAACGCTTCATGGTCCTCTTGGAGATGTGGTCCTGAAGGCAGCAGATGTTGCTCTAAAAGTTCTGCTGAATTTTTCTAAATCAGACATGATCTTAGCCCATACCATGATCCCACCGCCTGCAGACTCGTCCTCCTCTGAGGAGAACATCAGGCTTCTTCTCTGGTCAGCAAAGGCTGAAAGTCTAAACCTGGGTGGATGTTCTGCTACATCCCTGATGTTCCTGGATGGTTCCACGATGTTCTACTCAGCAGTAGAGCATCCGGTTGCTCTAAAGCTTCTTGATCCCAGCGATCTGCAGGAGGATGGAGATGAACATCAGGCTGCCTGGAATGGAGGTCTGATGGAAAGGTTTGGTTCTGACCCGCTGCGACCCGAGGAAACGCGTTCCTACATGCAGGAAGCTCCAGCTGCGCTGCAGCGTCTGGCTGACGTCTGGTGGAAGGAATGAGGCTCCAGGCGACACTGAGCTCCAGGCGACGCTCAACATGTGACACAGCGCTCCGTCTCTCCGCTCCAGAACCGGGTCCAAACCGCCCTGCTCAGAGACGCTGGAGATCAGAGACGCTGTGGTTGCATCATGGTGGCTCTTAGTAACGCCTGGGACGCCATTTAGGGCTTTGGAAACAATCTTTGGCTTTTTGTTCAGAGGACCAACATTTATTCTAGTAAATGATCCGAAACGCAGGAGTTTCTGTTTCTATAAGGTGGAAGAATCGGAATATTGGATCCGATCAGAACCAGAACCGTTTGCTGTTCATCACCACAAATCAGACCATTTGATGCGTTTGAGGGACTGGGAATAAAAAATGGAGGCTGAACATCACACCTCCGGGGGGGGGCGGGGGGTTGTGGGTTCAATTCTCCTGAATCAGGGCATCATTTTCTGGGTGTAGTTTGCTGTAGAGCCACTAGATGGCAGCAGCTGATCTCAGAGGAACAGAAGAGCTGCAGGTTTTTAGCTTCAGGCTGTTGCAGCCATAGAATGAATATATATATATATATAGATATATATATATATCTATATATATATATCTATATATATATATATCTCATTGGAGGCCGGCGTGCCTATAGGGCGGCCATCTTGGGTCAGACCACAGTTCAGACAGTGAAGACGAGTCAGAGGTCATTTACAATAATCTCTGACATGTTAGAACCTCTTAAAAGACCAAAACTAATTCTAAAATTGCTTTTATGTTAGATTACACAGATTTATTCAGATTAAAAAATATTTAAACGGAATTCAAACTGGATGAGATGAATGCAAAGTTATATATTTTGCAATTAAATATAAAGATGAGGCGCCACTCATATCAGAGACCCAGAGTGTTAGAAGCTCTATGCTGTAACCACTAACCCCCCCCCCCTTCATATTTAATATAACTGATTAAAGAACAAATGTTCACATAAATAATGATTAAAGAAAATAGTTTGAAAAAGAGTTTTGGAAGAAGTTCAGACAAACTTCTAAGGACAAACAGCCTTTAGTTACACACAACATAAATGTACCATTCATTCCGAAGAAAAGGTCTAAACAACGACAAAAATTAACATAAAATTAAAAAAATAATAACTCTCTTTTGTAAATCTCTTTACTACAAATTTTCCTCATTAGATAATAATTCTAATCATCAAAGAGCAATCTTTTAAAATGCTGAATAATAATAAATATACTATATAAATGTATAATATTTGTTAAACATAATCTTATAATATATTAATAAAAAAAATTTGTTTTTATCATATGAATCTTTTTTTGCTAAATATATAACTTTGCATGTATTTCATCCAGTTTAAGTTCAGTTTAAATAATTTTTAATCTGTGTAATCTAACATTATTTATTTTAAGGAGTTGTGACATAATTGTGATATTTTATCATGTGATTAAACTGAGGTCTAAGGAGCCTCCTTTCATTCTGACAGCAGCTGTCTGACCCAAGATGGCCGCCCTGTGGGCACATTGCTCAGCGTCCAATAAGGCGTCCATGTATATAACATTCTATGGTTGCAGTGAAAAATACAACAGACAATATATATAAAAAAAAAAGTATAAAGTACAAAAAAGCATAAAAAAGAAAAAAGCTTTCATGTCCTGGAATATTTTTCCTTAGATATAAAAATATCTGCAGAGTAGAGAGTATCTCCCACTGATCAGGCTCCTCTGAGTGCTGAAGACTGAGTGGGGCATTGTCCATAATGTCCAGCAGTTTGTCTCTGCCACCGTCCCCAGAGGGTCCAGCTTCTAGCCAATCACAGAGCCGGATGGCCTCACCAGTTGGTCCAGTCATGTTTTAATCTAGGTTGGTCTCCAAGCAGAAGCACAGAACATGGACCTCAGGTAGAACCTCCTCACTCAGCCATTAGAGCCTCCTCCCTCAGCCATTAGAACCTCCTCCCTCAGCCATTAGAGCCTCCTCCCTCAGCCATTAGAACCTCCTCACTCAGCCATTAGAGCCTCCTCCCTCAGCCATTAGAACCTCCTCCCTCGGCCATTAGAACCTCCTCCCTCGGGCATTAGAACCTCCTCACTCAGCCATTAGAGCCTCCTCCCTCAGCCATTAGAACCTCCTCCCTCAGCCATTAGAACCTCCTCCCTCGGGCATTAGAACCTCCTCCCTCGGGCATTAGAACCTCCTCCCTCGGGCATTAGAACCTCCTCCCTCAGCCATTAGAACCTCCTCCCTCAGCCATTAGAACCTCCTCCCTCAGGCATTAGAACCTCCTCCCTCAGGCATTAGAACCTCCTCCCTCGGCCATTAGAACCTCCTCCCTCGGGCATTACAGGTGCTGGTCATAAAATTAGAATATCATGAAAAAGTAGATTGATTTCAGTAATTCCATTTAAAAAGTGAAACTTGTATATTATATTCATACATTACATACAAACTCATATATTTCAGATGTTTATTTTGTTTAATTTTGATGATTACAAATGACAACAAATGAAAATCTCAAATTCATCATATCAGAAAATTAGAATATTACTGAAGACCAATAAAAACAAAGGATTTATAGAAATGTTGGCCAACTGAAAAGTATGAACATGAAAAGTATGAGCATGTACAGCACTCAGTATTTAGTTGGGCCTCCTTTGGCCTGTATTACTGCAGCAATGCGGCGTGGCATGGAGTCGATCAGTCTGTGGCACTGCTCAGGTGTTATGATAGCCCAGGTTGCTCTAATAGTGGCTTTTAGCTCTTCTGAATTGTTGGGTCTGGTGTATTGCATCTTCTTCTTCACAATACCCCATAGATTTTCTATGGGGTTAAGGTCAGGAGAGTTTGCTGGCCAATTAAGAACAGGGATACCATGGTCCTTCAACCAGGTACTGGTAGCTTTGGCACTGTGTGCAGGTGCCAAGTCCTGTTGGAAAATGAAATCTGCATCTCCAAAAAGTTGGTCAGCTGCAGGAAGCATGAAGTGCTCTAAAACTTCCTGGTATGTGGCTGCGTTGACCCTGGACCTCAGAAAACACAATGGACCAACACCAGCAGATGACATGGCACCCCAAACCATCACTGACTGTGGAAACTTTACACTGGACTTCAAGCAACGTGGATGAAGTGCCTCTCTTCTTTTCCTCCAGACTCTGGGACCTTGATTTCCAAAGGAAATGCAAAATTTACTTTCATCAGAGAACATGACTTTGGACCACTCACCAGCAGTCCAGTCCTGTTTCTCTTTAGCCCAGGCAAGACGCTTCTGACGCTGTCTGTGGTTCAAGAGTGGCTTGACACAAGGAATGCGACAGCAGAAACCCATGTCTTTCATACGTCTGTGTGTGGTGGTTCTTGAAGCACTCACTCCAGCTGCAGTCCACTCTTTGTGAATCTCCCCCACATTTTTGAATGGGTTTTGTTTCACAATCCTCTCCAGGGTGCGGTTATCTCTCTTGCTTGTACACTTTTTTCGACCACATCTTTTCCTTCCCTTCGCCTCTCTATTAATGTGCTTGGACACTGAGCTCTGTGAACAGCCAGCCTCTTTAGCGATGACCTTTTGTGTCTTGCCCTCCTTGTGCAAGGTGTCGATGGTCGTCTTTTGGACAACTGTCAAGTCAGCAGTCTTCCCCATGATTGTGTAGCCTATAGAACTAGACTGAAAGACCATTTAAAGGCTTTTGCAGGTGGTTTGAGTTAATTAGCTGATTAGAGTGTGGCACCAGGGGCCATCAATTTTGAACCTTTTCACAATATTCTAATTTTCTGATATGATGAATTTGAGATTTTCATTTGTTGTCATTTGTAATCATCAAAATTAAACAAAATAAACATCTGAAATATATGAGTTTGTATGTAATGTATGAATATAATATACAAGTTTCACTTTTTAAATGGAATTACTGAAATCAATCTACTTTTTCATGATATTCTAATTTTATGACCAGCACCTGTAGAGCCTCCTCCCTCGGGCATTAGAGCCTCCTCCCCCGGGCATTAGAACCTCCTCCCTCGGGCATTAGAGCCTCCTCCCTCAGGCATTAGAACCTCCTCCCCCGGGCATTAGAACCTCCTCCCTCAGGCATTAGAACCTCCTCCCTCGGGCATTAGAACCTCCTCCCTCAGGCATTAGAACCTCCTCCCTCGGGCATTAGAACCTCCTCCCTCAGCCATTAGAACCTCCTCCCTCGGGCATTAGAACCTCCTCCCTCGGGCATTAGAACCTCCTCCCTCGGGCATTAGAACCTCCTCCCTCGGGCATTAGAGCCTCCTCCCTCAACCATTAGAACCTCCTCCCTCGGGCATTAGAACCTCCTCCCTCGGGCATTAGAGCCTCCTCCCTCAACCATTAGAACCTCCTCCCTCAACCATTAGAACCTCCTCCCTCGGGCATTAGAGCCTCCTCCCTCGGGCATTAGAACCTCCTCCCTCGGGCATTAGAACCTCCTCCCTCGGGCATTAGAACCTCCTCCCTCGGGCATTAGAACCTCCTCCCTCGGGCATTAGAACCTCCTCCCTCAGCCATTAGAGCCTCCTCCCTCAACCATTAGAACCTCCTCCCTCGGGCATTAGAACCTCCTCCCTCGGGCATTAGAACCTCCTCCCTCAGCCATTAGAACCTCCTCCCTCGGGCATTAGAACCTCCTCCCTCGGGCATTAGAACCTCCTCCCTCGGGCATTAGAACCTCCTCCCTCAGGCATTAGAACCTCCTCCCTCGGGCATTAGAACCTCCTCCCTCGGGCATTAAAGCCTCCTCCCTCAACCATTAGAACCTCCTCCCTCGGGCATTAGAACCTCCTCCCTCGGGCATTAGAGCCTCCTCCCTCGGGCATTAGAACCTCCTCCCTCGGGCATTAGAACCTCCTCCCTCGGGCATTAGAACCTCCTCCCTCGGGCATTAGAACCTCCTCCCTCGGGCATTAGAACCTCCTCCCTCAGCCATTAGAACCTCCTCCCTCGGGCATTAGAACCTCCTCCCTCGGGCATTAGAACCTCCTCCCTCGGGCATTAGAACCTCCTCCCTCGGGCATTAGAACCTCCTCCCTCGGGCATTAGAACCTCCTCCCTCAGGCATTAGGACCTCCTCCCTCGGACATTAGAACCTCCTCCCTCGGCCATTAGAACCTCCTCCCTCAGCCATTAGAACCTCCTCCCTCGGGCATTAGAACCTCCTCCCTCAACCATTAGAACCTCCTCCCTCAGCCATTAGAACCTCCTCCCTCGGGCATTAGAGCCTCCTCCCTCGGGCATTAGAACCTCCTCCCTCGGGCATTAGAACCTCCTCCCTCGGGCATTAGAACCTCCTCCCTCGGCCATTAGAACCTCCTCCCTCAGCCATTAGAACCTCCTCCCTCGGGCATTAGAGCCTCCTCCCTCAACCATTAGAACCTCCTCCCTCGGGCATTAGAACCTCCTCCCTCGGGCATTAGAACCTCCTCCCTCGGGCATTAGAACCTCCTCCCTCAGCCATTAGAACCTCCTCCCTCGGGCATTAGAGCCTCCTCCCTCGGGCATTAGAACCTCCTCCCTCGGGCATTAGAGCCTCCTCCCTCAACCATTAGAACCTCCTCCCTCGGGCATTAGAACCTCCTCCCTCGGGCATTAGAACCTCCTCCCTCGGGCATTAGAGCCTCCTCCCTCGGGCATTAGAACCTCCTCCCTCGGGCATTAGAGCCTCCTCCCTCGGGCATTAGAACCTCCTCCCTCAGCCATTAGAACCTCCTCCCTCGGGCATTAGAGCCTCCTCCCTCGGGCATTAGAACCTCCTCCCTCGGGCATTAGAACCTCCTCCCTCGGGCATTAGAACCTCCTCCCTCGGGCATTAGAGCCTCCTCCCTCGGGCATTAGAGCCTCCTCCCTCGGGCATTAGAGCCTCCTCCCTCGGGCATTAGAACCTCCTCCCTCAGCCATTAGAACCTCCTCCCTCGGGCATTAGAGCCTCCTCCCTCGGGCATTAGAACCTCCTCCCTCGGGCATTAGAACCTCCTCCCTCGGGCATTAGAACCTCCTGTGATCATGTGTCGCTGCCTCATCACCTTCTGTCTCTGTTGTTCTGCAGCTTCCAGCCTCCAGCAGCAGAACCAGAACCGGACCACATGATGAGTTCGGGCCTCAGCAGCCTGAGCACCAAGCTGACCCTGAAGAACCCGTCTGCTCCCAGAGAGGAGGAACCCAAACCCCGCTTCCACAAAGTTTCTCTGGTGACCACAGAAACCACCTGCAGGTCCAGTTCTCCTGATCCAGAACCCGAGTACCGATGGAAGAACCGTTTTCAGGGAGTAACGCCATTCAGGTCCAGCAGGACCTCCCTCCCTGACTCCTCCTCTCCTCTGCCTGAAGATGAGCCAGACTCTCATCTCAGCCCCTCCTCCTCTGTGTATCTGAGCCCGTTGGGAGCAGAGGAAAGTGGGCGGGGCCTGCTAGAGGAGGAGGAGGGGCCAGGTGCAGGTGGAGGGGAGGAACGGCTGAAAGGAGAGACAGAGTGGAGAATGTCTGAGCAGGAGCTGCAGCAGCTCCCTGCGTCCTCCTGCAGCCCAGAAGACGAAGACAGCAGCTTCAGCGGAGTCTTCACCGCCACCCTGGTGGACCTGGTCTCTGATTCTGCACCCCCCCTCACCCCCCCATCCTCCCCCGACGTGGACTCCCCCTTAAACGACATGGACAGCCTGGTGGACACCCTGAAGAGCATGGAACCCTCTCAGAGGCCCAGGGGCCCCGGCCTACGAGCTGCTCCTCCCGTCCTGGTGTCCTTCCTGCCCCCCATCAAGGAGGACGCGGTGAGCCCCCACCTCCGCGACCCGACCCCCTCCCCACTGAGGACAGAGGAGCCCCAGAACCCTCAGTACACGCTGCCAGCTGAGCTGGGCCTGAAGAGGAACGCGGCCAGAGACAGCCGGCCGCCGCTGGAGCTGATGAAGAAAAACCAGGTACCTGATCTGAGGAGCAGCAGCTCTGGTTCTGGATCTCTGAGGTTCCTGGTCTGGTCCACCTTAGCTTCTGCTCTCTCTGACTCCTCCTTCTCTTCCTTCCTCAGGAGCAGAACTCCTCGCTGCCCAACGGAAGCGGAGCTCCCCCGTCTCCCACCACCAGCTCCCGCCTCGACAGCAGCGTCCTCTTCGGAGCGTACCGCTCCACATCCTCGGACCAGAAGCTGGAAAACGTGAACGTCCATCGGCCCCTGTTCCGCACCAGTTCCCTGCCGGAGACGGGGTCCCCTGCTGTGAGAAGCAGGGACCCCGGTGACGCAGGGCCCACTGGGAACCCATCAGGGTCCCGTCTGGAGCGTCTCTCCTTCCTGGTGAACTCGTCGGGTTCCCTGAACGGAGCCGGGGATTCTGGTTCCTCTAGGATCAGCCGGGGGCCCAGCCTAAACCGCGGCTCCCCCACCTCCACCAGCCCCACTCGCCTGCTCAGCCCCACCACCTCCATCTACCTGCACCGGCCCCTCGCCATCTCGGAGCCCCTCCCGTTCAGCCAGGGGCCAGGTGTCCTACAGAGGAGCCTAAGCTACGAGGGGCCGTCACAGACGCCTCCTTTCAACGGCCTACAGGGAGGGGCCCCGTTGGGTAGCATTCAGGGAGGGCCCCAGTTTAATGGCGTCCATAACGGCCCCCGCTTCAACAGCCTACTGGCGGGGCCCCAAATCCAGCAAGATGAACCAGACTGCAGCCTGATGTCCAAATACCGCGCCTTCCCAGACGCCTATGTGAGTACGCCAACATGGCGGGGGGACGGGGGGGTCTGATGACGCCGCAGGTGAACCTGCTCATTTATCCTTTATGGAGATTCAACAGAAATAAAAACTGGTTCCAAGATTCTGAATGTCTTGGATGTAATTAGGCAGCAGAAGGTGTGTCTGCATGTGGCTCCATGTCTGCACATGTTCGCCTTCGGGCCCCGGGGCCACTGATCCGTCCAAAATGATTTTATTCAGCAGGGTGATGAGGCGCGTTCCGACACAACGGCGCTAATGATCACCTGTTCTGACTGATGGTTCAGCCCGTGGGGAACAGAACCGGACCAGAGAGCAGACTGGATCCACTGAGCAGAAACGGTTCTCTGGTCTCAGGATGTTCTGCTTCTTCTGTGATGATCCGTCCATTAGGACGAATTAGAACCCGATAGAACCGACGGCGTGTTGAATCCTGAGCCTCCTGGTTCTGTGATGACATCATCATGAGCTGATTTCATCGCTTATCTGAATAAGCGATGAAATCAGCTGAAAGGGTTTAGGTTCCATCAGTCGCATGTCGGTTCCTCTGCAGGGAAGCTTCTTGTAAAACACGTCTGAAATTAGAACCTCTGTGGAGAACAGAGCTGTGAGGCCTGCAGGGATCGATGGGTCGGGTTGGTTCGGGTCGGGTCGGTTCGGGTCGGGCCGCTGCAGGAGCCAGCTTGGTGCAGATGGTTCTAGTTTTAGAAGAACATCAGATGTTTGTGCTTCAGTGGTTTTACCTCCATCTGTGGAAACTACAGGAAATGAGAAGAGTTCCTGCAGAAACCTTCAGATTAACTGGAGGAACTTTCCTCTAATCTTCCGGTTCTGCAGTGAAATAAAGACTCGGATCCAGAGACGCAGAAAGTGGTGTTATGTGTGAGGCAGCAGGTTCTGGCAGGAGGCCCGGATCAGAATGTGAAGCAGCTGTTGGATTAATGCAGAACGTCTTTGGTAAATATTGTCAGAAATGTCCACACCCTCAGCAGCTATCTGTCTGTTCCTGCTGCAGCCGCACCCTCCCCCCTCCTCCCCCCCCTCCCTCCTGCCTCCTCCCGGTTCGTCTCCCATCAGCTCCAATGGGCAGAAGGCCGGGTGATGCCCTAATGATCAGCCGGCAGCGTTTCTGGCTGCAGGGAGGAAGGTGGGGTCGATCGGGCCGTGATCTCTGCCGTCCCTCCTGGAGACCAGCTTCTTCATCTCTCTGCTGGAAAGCAGCACCAGCTGCAGAAATGCAGCAGAACCAGTCCAGCTTTGGTTCTGTGGGCCGCGCTTTGCCTTGGGTTGTTGTGACTGACGCGTTCTCCCGTGAAACGCAGGAATGTGACTAACTCCTCTATTGTCTGTCAGTCATCAGCTCCATTCAGGCTTTTCTACCTGAAGGCCAAATCAGGATGGACTCTGATGGACGGCCCGGTTCTGCTGCACGCAGAGACAGCAGGAGCCCAGAGGCGCCTGCAGGAGGAGGAAGCAGGGGCTGCAGCTCCTTCCTGTGGTCAGTAGGTGGCGTGGCACCTGTAGGCCAGCTGAGGTCAGAGCAGCGAGAGTCGATACGTGACGCGCCGCGGTCCGAAACATGATCCGACTCAGAGTCACAGGATCCCGGAGACTCTGACCAGAACAAATCTGATCCCATGTTGTTCTCAGTTCCTCTCTGATGGCAGATGTTCTGATGATGATGATGATGACGATGATGATGATGATAATGATGATGATGATAATGATGATGATGTTTCTCTGTCTGCAGCTGACCAAAGAGAAGGAACACGGGAAGCTGAACCCTCGTCCAGGAAAGGTGAGATTCATCTAAACGCCATAAGGTCCAGGTGTTCCATCATCCATTAGAACCCAGCAGAGTTCTACTGGTTCTGTCTTCAGGAGGACATTCTCTGAAGACAGAACCGCTGCTCATATCGGGTTCTGCTCCGCTGCAGATGTTCTGGTTCTAAGCATTCAGATCCAGTAGAACTGGAATCAGACAGCAGAACAGAACTTGGTTCCATGGTTCCACCTCTGGTTCTATACGGTTCAGCAGGTTTCAGAAACTCCTCAGGCTCTGCAGAACCTCTGGTTTGTTCTTTATCCTGCTGGGCAGAACCAGTGGGGGGGGTTCTAGATGATGTTCTGATCAATAGTAGAACGGATGGTTCAGTCCAATGGAGCGACTAGCCTCCTTCTAGCCTCCCACTAGTCTCCTTCTAGCCTCCTTCTAGTCTCCTTCTAGTCTCCTTCTAGTCTCCCAATAGCCTCCTTCTAGTCTCCTTCTAGTCTCCCACTAGTCTCCCAATAGCCTCCTTCTAGTCTCCTTCTAGCCTCCTTCTAGCCTCCCACTAGTCTCCTTCTAGCCTCCTTCTAGTCTCCTTCTAGTCTCCCAATAGCCTCATTCTAGTCTCCTTCTAGTCTCCTTCTAGTCTCCCAATAGCCTCCTTCTAGTCTCCTTCTAGTCTCCCAATAGCCTCCCACTAGTCTCCTTCTAGCCTCCTTCTAGTCTCCTTCTAGTCTCCTTCTAGTCTCCCAATAGCCTCCTTCTAGTCTCCTTCTAGTCTCCTTCTAGTCTCCCAATAGCCTCCCACTAGTCTCCTTCTAGCCTCCTTCTAGTCTCCTTCTAGTCTCCTTCTAGTCTCCCAATAGCCTCCTTCTAGTCTCCTTCTAGTCTCCTTCTAGTCTCCCAATAGCCTCCTTCTAGTCTCCTTCTAGTCTCCCACTAGTCTCCCAATAGCCTCCTTCTAGTCTCCTTCTAGCCTCCTTCTAGCCTCCCACTAGTCTCCTTCTAGCCTCCTTCTAGTCTCCTTCTAGTCTCCCAATAGCCTCCTTCTAGTCTCCTTCTAGTCTCCTTCTAGTCTCCCAATAGCCTCCTTCTAGTCTCCTTCTAGTCTCCTTCTAGTCTCCTTTTAGTCTCCCAATAGCCTCCTTCTAGTCTCCTTCTAGTCTCCCAATAGCCTCCTTCTAGCCTCCTTCTAGCCTCCCACTAGTCTCCTTCTAGCCTCCTTCTAGTCTCCTTCTAGTCTCCCAATAGCCTCCTTCTAGTCTCCTTCTAGTCTCCTTCTAGTCTCCCAATAGCCTCCTTCTAGTCTCCTTCTAGTCTCCTTCTAGTCTCCCAATAGCCTCCTTCTAGTCTCCTTCTAGTCTCCTACTAGCCTCCTACTAGCCTCCTTCTAGCCTCCCACTAGTCTCCTTCCAGCCTCCTTCTAGTCTCCTTCTAGTCTCCCAATAGCCTCCTTCTAGTCTCCTTCTAGTCTCCCACTAGCCTCCTACTAGCCTCCTTCTAGTCTCCCACTAGCCTCCTACTAGCCTCCTTCTAGTCTCCCACTAGTCTCCTTCTAGTCTCCTACTAGCCTCCTTCTAGTCTACTTCTAGTCTCCTACTAGGCTCCTTCTAGTCTCCTTCTAGTCTCCCACTAGCCTCCTACTAGCCTCCTTCTAGTCTCCCACTAGCCTCCTACTAGCCTCCTTCTAGTCTCCCACTAGTCTCCTTCTAGTCTCCTACTAGCCTCCTTCTAGTCTACTTCTAGTCTCCTACTAGCCTCCTTCTAGTCTCCTTCTAGCCTCCTACTAGCCTTCTTCTAGCCTCCCACTAGTCTCCTTCTAGCCTCCTTCTAATCTCCTTCTAGTCTCTTACTAGTCTGCTACTACCCTCCTTCTAGTCTCATTCTAGTCTCCTACTAGTTACATTCTAGTCTCCTACTAGCCTCCTTCTAGTCTCCTACTAGTCTCTTACTAGCCTCAATCTAGTCTCCCACTAGTCTCCTTCTAGCCTCCTTCTAATCTCCTTCTAGTCTCTTACTAGTCTGCTACTACCCTCCTTCTAGTCTCATTCTAGTCTCCTACTAGTTACATTCCAGTCTCCTTCTAGTCTCATTCTAGTCTCCTACTAGTATCATTTTAGTCTCTTACTAGTCTGCTACTAGTCTCTTTCTAGTCTCCTTCTAGTCTCCTACTAGTCACATTCTAGTCTCCTTCTAGTCTCATTCTAGTCTCCTACTAGTATCATTCTAGTCTCTTACTAGTCTGCTACTAGTCTCCTTCTAGTCTCCTTCTAGCCTTCTAGTCTCCCACCAGCCTCCTTCTAGTCTCCCACCAGCCTCCTTCTAGTCTCCTACTTGTCACATTCTAGTCTCCTACTAGTCTCATTCTAGTCTTACTAGTCTGCTACTAGCCTCCTTCTAGTCACATTCTAGTCTCCTACTAATCTCCTAGTAGTCTCCTTCTAGTCTCCTACTAGTCTCCTACTAGCCTCCTTTTAGTCTCCTACTAGCCTCCTTCTAGTCTCATTCTAGTCTCCTACTAGTCACATTCTAGTCTCCTACTAGTCTCATTCTAGTCTCTTACTAGTCTGCTACTACCCTCCTTCTAGTCTCCTACTAGCCTCCTTCTAGTCTCCTACTAGCCTCCTTCTAGTCTCATTCTAGTCTCCTACTAGTCACATTCTAGTCTCCTACTAGTCTCATTCTAGTCTCTTACTAGTCTGCTACTACCCTCCTTCTAGTCTCATTCTAGTCTCCTACTAGTTACATTCTAGTCTCCTACTAGCCTCCTTCTAGTATCCTACTAGTCTCTTACTAGCCTCAATCTAGTCTCCTACTAGTCACATTCTAGTCTCCTTCTAGTCTCATTCTAGTCTCCTACTAGTATCATTCTAGTCTCTTACTAGTCTGCTACTAGTCTCCTTCTAGTCTCCTTCTAGCCTTCTAGTCTCCCACCAGCCTCCTTCTAGTCTCCTACTAGTCACATTCTAGTCTCCTTCTAGTCTCATTCTAGTCTCCTACTAGTATCATTCTAGTCTCTTACTAGTCTGCTACTAGTCTCCTTCTAGTCTCCTTCTAGCCTTCTAGTCTCCCACCAGCCTCCTTCTAGTCTCCCACCAGCCTCCTTCTAGTCTCCCACCAGCCTCCTTCTAGTCTCCTATTAGTCACATTCTAGTCTCCTACTAGTCTCATTCTAGTCTTACTAGTCTGCTACTAGCCTCCTTCTAGTCACATTCTAGTCTCCTACTAATCTCCTAGTAGTCTCCTTCTAGTCTCCTACTAGTCTCCTACTAGCCTCCTTCTAGTCTCCTACTAGCCTCCTTCTAGTCTCCTACTAGCCTCCTTCTAGTCTCATTCTAGTCTCCTACTAGTCACATTCTAGTCTCCTACTAGTCTCATTCTAGTCTCTTACTAGTCTGCTACTACCCTCCTTCTAGTCTCATTCTAGTCTCCTACTAGTTACATTCTAGTCTCCTACTAGCCTCCTTCTAGTCTCCTACTAGCCTCCTTCTAGTCTCATTCTAGTCTCCTACTATTCACATTCTAGTCTCCTACTAGTCTCATTCTAGTCTCTTACTAGTCTGCTACTACCCTCCTTCTAGTCTCATTCTAGTCTCCTACTAGTTACATTCTAGTCTCCTACTAGCCTCCTTCTAGTATCCTACTAGTCTCTTACTAGCCTCAATCTAGTCTCCTACTAGTCACATTCTAGTCTCCTACTAGTCACATTCTAGTCTCCTTCTAGTCTCATTCTAGTCTCCTACTAGTATCATTCTAGTCTCTTACTAGTCTGCTACTAGTCTCCTTCTAGTCTCCTTCTAGCCTTCTAGTCTCCAAACATCCTTCTAGCCTCCTTCTAGTCTCCTACTAGCCTCCTTCTAGTCTCCTACTAGCCTCCTTCTAGTCTCTTACTAGTCTGCTACTACCCTCCTTCTAGTCTCATTCTAGTCTCCTACTAGTCACATTCTAGTCTCCTACTAGCCTCCTTCTAGTCTCCTACTAGTCTCATTGTAGTCTCCTACTAGTCTCATTCTAGTCTCTTACTAGTCTGCTACTACCCTCCTTCTAGTCTCATTCTAGTCTCCTACTAGTCACATTCTAGTCTCCTACTAGCCTCCTTCTAGTCTCCTACTAGCCTCATTCTAGTCTCCTTCTAGTCTCTTACTAGCCTCCTTCTAGTCTCCTACTAATCTCCTAGTAGTCTCCTTCTAGTCTCCTACTAGTCTCCTACTAGCCTCCTTCTAGTCTCCTACTAGCCTCCTTCTAGTCTCATTCTAGTCTCCTACTAGTCTCATTCTAGTCTCTTACTAGTCTGCTACTAGTCTCCTTCTAGCCTTCTAGTCTCCAAGCATCCTTCTAGCCTCCTTCTAGGCTCCTACTAGCCTCCTTCTAGTCTCATTCTAGTCTCTTACTAGTCTGCTACTAGTCTCCTTCTAGCCTTCTAGTCTCCAAGCATCCTTCTAGCCTCCTTCTAGGCTCCTTCTAGTCTCCTACTAGTCACATTCTAGTCTCCTACTAGCCTCCTTCTAGTCTCCTACTAGTCTCATTCTAGTCTCTTACTAGCCTCCTTCTAGTCTCCTACTAATCTCCTAGTAGTCTCCTTCTAGTCTCCTACTAGTCTCCTACTAGCCTCCTTCTAGTCTCCTACTAGCCTCCTTCTAGTCTCATTCTAGTCTCCTATTAGTCTCATTCTAGTCTCCTACTAGTCTCCTTCTAGCCTTCTAGTCTCCAAGCATCCTTCTAGCCTCCTTCTAGTCTCCTACTAGCCTCCTTCTAGTCTCCTACTAGCCTCCTTCTAGTCTCCTACTAGCCTCCTTCTAGTCTCTTACTAGTCTGCTACTACCCTCCTTCTAGTCTCATTCTAGTCTCCTACTAGTCACATTCTAGTCTCCTACTAGCCTCCTTCTAGTCTCCTACTAGCCTCATTCTAGTCTCCTACTAGTCTCATTCTAGTCTCTTACTAGCCTCCTTCTAGTCTCCTACTAATCTCCTAGTAGTCTCCTTCTAGTCTCCTACTAGTCTCCTACTAGCCTCCTTCTAGTCTCCTACTAGCCTCCTTCTAGTCTCATTCTAGTCTCCTACTAGTCTCATTCTAGTCTCTTACTAGTCTGCTACTAGTCTCCTTCTAGCCTTCTAGTCTCCAAGCATCCTTCTAGCCTCCTTCTAGGCTCCTACTAGCCTCCTTCTAGTCTCCTACTAGCCTCCTTCTAGTCTCATTCTAGTCTCCTACTAGTCTCATTCTAGTCTCTTACTAGTCTGCTACTAGTCTCATTCTAGTCTCCTACTAGTCTCATTCTAGTCTCTTACTAGTTTGCTTCTAGTCTCCTTCTAGTCACCTTTGTTCGTTCGTCAGTGAAGCAAATATCCAGTTAATGGCAGAATCAGAACTTAGGGGTAGGACATCAGGTTCTGATCTGATTCCAAACCAAAACATTCCCATGGGGGGGGTCTAATTAATTTTAATAAAGAAGTGGTTGAACAAAACCTCTTCAGCAGAAAACCACAGAGCCACCGACTACTCTGTTCCTGCTGCGGAAATATCAGACCTGCTGGAGCATGCAGACGTTCTGCTGCTGCAGACGTTCTGCTCCTGCTGCTGCAGTCGTTCTGCTGCTGCTGCAGACGTTCTGCTGCTGCAGACGTTCTGCTGCTGCAGACGTTCTGCTGCTGCTGCTGCCGTTCTTCTGCTGCAGACGTTCTGCTGCTGCAGACGTTCTGCTCCTGCTGCTGCAGTCGTTCTGCTGCTGCTGCTGCAGACGTTCTGCTGCTGCAGACGTTCTGCTGCTGCTGCTGCTGCCGTTCTTCTGCTGCAGACGTTCTGCTGCTGCAGACGTTCTGCTCCTGCTGCTGCAGTCGTTCTGCTGCTGCAGACGTTCTGCTGCTGCTGCTGCTGCCGTTCTTCTGCTGCAGACGTTCTGCTGCTGCAGACGTTCTGCTCCTGCTGCTGCAGACGTTCTGCTGCTGCAGACGTTCTGCTGCTGCTGCTGCTGCCGTTCTTCTGCTGCAGACGTTCTGCTGCTGCAGACGTTCTGCTCCTGCTGCTGCAGTCGTTCTGCTGCTGCTGCTGCAGACGTTCTGCTGCTGCAGACGTTCTGCTCCTGCTGTAGACGTTCTGCTTCTGCTGTAGACGTTCTGCTAGATGTTCTACTAGATGTTGTCCTGTTTGTTTTGCTCCGTTGTCTGCGTTTCCGCTAATATTCTTGAACTAAACAGTTTACTTTGCTGAATGTTCTGGAGGTTGACCTAGATTGTTCTTTGAAGGAACCCAGAGAACCATCATGGCTGAAGGTTCTCCAGGTAACCTGTGCTCCTCTGAACAGATGTACATCTTCGATCGGCCTGGGATGTGCGGCCAGAGGATGGAGATCCGAGGCGACGTTGTGGACGCCACGCCCTGGGAGCTGCAGGACAGCATCTCAATCAGGGTCGTCAGAGGAGGGTGAGGTTCTCCTGGGAGCCGGGGGCAGTGAAAGGGGGAGGTTCTGGGTTTTGTAGGCGTGGTATCAGGAGTTCTCCAAGGACAGCTTCTGGTACCAGATGTGAACAGGATCAGTGATCTGATTCCCACATTTACCAGCTTAAAGTTTGTTTGTTTTTCTCCTGAAACTATTTTTTCTATGAGGATTTTTCTTCAGCTTGAGAAAAAAGCCTCAGGTTCCGGTTCTAATGGGCCACAGAGGGTTTGGTCAAAAGTTAAAATCAATCCTCTGGACTTTGTTTCCCAGTTTGAAGACGTTTCTCTTCCATCCAGGAAGATTTTTCAATTCAAAATGTCAGAAATAGCGTTTAGTTCCAGGTTTTATCCAGCAGCCCAACAAAGCCTGGTTTTAGTTTATATTTGCATGTTTTCTATGCTGTATGAAGCGAAACTTTTTGGAACGACTGTGACCTGGATGACCTGGATGACTTGGATGACCTGGATGACCTGGATGACTTGGATGACTGGGAATCTTCACCAGCACAGAGGTTTGGTTCTGGGTTTAGAGGCTGTGATCACTAATCTTCGTCACGCTGCAGCTCTTCCTCTTCCTCGCCTCTTTTGGCTCCTGATCCATATTCTGGCTGACTGACGGCGCCACACCTGGTTTCCGTAGAACCTTGGAGGCGTGGGGAGGATTTTCCTGTCAGTCAGGCAGCTGCTCAGGTGTAGAACCACACCTGCAGCTGCAGCATGCCTCTGATGGGGATGCAGAGTGATGGACCCGACCCGACCTGTAACGCTTCATTTTTACTCTGCCTGCTCAGAGCTCCTCCTCTGATCCGGTTAAAGGCTGTGACACATTGACCTTTGACCTCCAGAACCCAAACCTCATCTTTCCTCATAAACCAGGTTCTAGGAACCTTTAGGGACCCCAGAGTGTTCCCTTTTTCAGTGTCAGACCTGCTCCCAGGCGGCAGTCTGAACATGCAGGGTGTTCTAACGTCTGCTCCTCCTGCTCCCCTCCAGGTGGGTTCTCTATGAGAAGCCCAACTTTAAGGGGGAGAAGATCGCCCTGGATGAGGGAGACACGGAGCTCACCTGTCCCTTCGGCTCAGCTGAGGAGAACGGAGGAACCGCAGAGGAGCAGACGGAGAAGGAGCCGACCCGGAAGTTCCTCATCGGATCTGTTCGCAGAGCCGTCAGGGTGAGAGGGCTTCACTTTTTTTCTGCTTCTGCGCAGACAGGGAGGGATGATGCTGAGGGCGAGGAGAGGCTGCAGCGCCATCTGCTGGGCGGGTTAGAGGAGGTCCAGCAGAGTAGCAGATCTTCCTGGAGCTCCACAGGTTCTCTGTGGCTGTTAGGTGTTCATCAGCAGAACATTCTGAGGAGCTCAGACGGAGGGATGGTCAGGACCAGAACCGGAACCAGAACCAGAACCCTCCTGCAACTAGAGACAGAATCTCTCTTAGAACCGGGTCAGGGTTCTGCAGAGCGTTTATTTTCTCCGGCCTCTGTTCTCCGGCGTTCCTCAGGACTACAGCGTTCCAGAGATCAGTCTGTTCCCGGAGGAGAACGCCGAGGGAAAGAAGGTGGTGTTCCGGGACACGTCTGAGGACGCGCGGATCTTCGGGTTCCCCGTCAAAGCCAACTCCATCATCGTGAACTCTGGGCTGTGAGTCTCCCTGAGGACATGGCGGTCCGCCTGCAGCCTGTTCAGGACGTTCATCAGGTTCTTCTGCTCCACAGCTGGCTGGTCTTCACGCAGCCCTTCTTCCAGGGCGCCCCTCGGATCCTGGAGGTGGGGGGGTACTCCACCCCTGCAGCCTGGGGGGGGGAGCCTCCCTACGTGGCGTCGCTGCATCCTCTCAAAGTGGTGAGTTTCCCTGAAGATCAAACCTTCTGGCTGAAGAAGCCTTTAAGCTGAGTGTGGTTCTGTGACAGGGAGAACCTCGGGTGGAGAACATGAGGGAGCCCAAGGTGAGAACCTTCAGCACCGCCTGCTTTTCATGCTGCAGGCGTCCAACAGACCAACGTTCCCCGTTTCTCCTCAGATGGTGATCTACGAGAAGCCGTACTTCACTGGGAAATCCAGGACCATCACCTCCAACATGAGGGACTTCATGAGCCGGACGGACCACCAGCAGAGCGTCTTCATGGGCAGTCTGGGCTCCCTGAAGGTCCTGGGGGGGATGTGAGTGCCGGCGCCTCAAAAGGTTCTGGAAGCTGCTCCTCAAGTCTGATGGTTGGTTCCTCTGTTGTTCCAGCTGGGTGGGCTACGAGAAGGAGGGCTTCCGGGGACACCAGTACCTGCTGGAGGAGGGGGACTATCACGACTGGAGAGTGTGGGGGGGCTGCGATTCGGAGCTGCGCTCCGTCAGGATCATCCAGGCGGTAGGTGGAGATGCTGCTGCACTGAAGGTGTCGCTCTGAGAGCTTCGCCTTTAGCTCCACCTGCAGCATCGACCCGTCTGTCCCCGTCTGGACTCTGAGTCCACTTCCTGTCCCTTTCCCAGGACCTGATGGATCCAGTGATGGTGATGATTGAGCACTCTGAGGAAGAGGGGGGCGGGATGGAGGAGGAGAAGGCCTTTGAGGTAACGGAGGCCATCCCTGACGTGGAGCTGTTCGACTATAAGACCTCTACCCGCTCCATCCACGTCCTCAGTGGAGCGTGAGTCCTTCTGCTGTGATCCAACTATGATATATTTATGCCCCCCCCACTAGGGAGCATTATTTAATAAGATCATATTCAGATTGCCATATTGTTAATGAACTTCCGCCCCCTGCTGGCTGTGAGTTGGAACAACAGATAAAAATGTGAATGGAGCAAAATTATAATTCTGCACAAATTTTGAATAAATTCATTGAAACTTCCATTAAAATAAGATTTTATTAACAAAAATCATTCAGTTCCAGTCAAACTGATTCCAGTTCAAAACTCTCGACTAAAAACCAGACAAACTAAACTAAACTATTATGAACAAAGAAGGAAATCAGTGAAAACCAATAAATTAATAAATCAATACATTTAACAAAACATTATTTGGAAAAATAATGGGGGGGGCTAAGGAGGCTTCGCCCTCCTGTCAGCATCTAAACCATCTGAAACTACAAGAAAAATGTTGCAAACGGTCTGTTTGGTTCTGGAATGTCGACCAGAACCACTTGGCCTCGGTCCGTCTGAGCTCTGGGACTTTCTGGGTTTCCATCATGGCGTCCTCCTCCATCAGCTTCACAGAAAGGAAGAGAGGAAGAAGAGACGGCTGCATGATGAGGCCTTCATCCATCATCGCATAGAGTCACCTTTTCTACAGCATTATGCTGCATATCAATAAATTACTGAGCTGTGGTCTCATTTATAGAACAATTATCAGGGACTAAAAGACGCTTCTGTAGCTGAATAGGAATAAAATATTAAAGAAAAGTCAAAGTATTGGTTCCCAGTGTCTAAATTTATCCAATGCATTGTTCAAACAGTGGCCACTGAGTCTAGAATGCCTCAAAGCAGAATATGTGGATAGAGATAGAATGAAGCAGAATGATGAAAAAGGGGTCCCTATGTCCTCCAGCAATCTAAGCCTATAGCAGCAGAACTATAGAGATAGATCAGAGTTTATTTTGAAAGAAAAATAATATATATATAATAATATAATAATATATATATTTATCTGACACCATTTTTTTTACTGTCTGATTGGAGATGGCGCTGCAGGTCAGCAAATATGGAGATAAATCTGCTCTTCAAGCTTTGTTTCTCATGAAGGACTTTAAAAAGGAGTCTGCTCCCCCTCCTTCTCAAACTCTCACTCCGTCGCAGGTGGATCGCCTACTCCCACGTGGACTTCTCAGGGAACCAGTACATCCTGGAGAAAGGAGTCTACAATAACTGTGCTGATTGGGGCTCCCAGGACAGCCGGGTCTGCTCGGTCCAGCCCATCCTTCCGGTGAGGTCCAATCAGATGTTCTGGAGAGCAGCCAGATGGAGCTCAGCTGCTTTGACTCATATGTTGTTGTGTTTCAGGCTCCAGCAGATGCTTCCTCCCCCAAAGATGAGGTGAGATTGGATCAGAACCTGGATTAGCGTACTCAGAGAGACTCAGGAAGTTCCATCTCTGGTTCTGGTGACGTTCTACTGGTTCTGCTTTCCACCAGATCATCCTCTACTCTGAAGCAGACTTCCAGGGAGAGCGTCTGGTGGTCCATCACAGCCAGGGGGCGCTGGCAGAGAGGTTTCTCACCAGGTCGTGTCGGGTGGTGAGAGGAAGGTGAGCAGCAGGCTGGGACTTTCTGCCCAAGGAAAACCAGTAGAAACCCATTTAAACCAGTAGAAACCAGTATTGACCTCCAGGCCAGAAGGTTCTGTTCCATCTGGACCTGGATGGGAAACTTCTTGAACAGAAGTGATAAAACGGAGAGAGAAGCTTTTCAGCTCAGTGGTTCTGGTTCTGATCAGCAGAATATTCCCTTCCAGAGACGACCAATCAGACGCTGCTTCAGGACAGGTAGCTCTGACCTCCTCAGGTAAACCAGAACCGGCCCAGTTAGTCCCTGCAGTCATGATGGCTGTGCTGAGTGACGGTACTATGGTACCATTGGATCACCTCAACGAGCTGCTTTGGTTCCAATTAATAGAAAAAGATCAAAGGTTTCTGAACCGATGGCTCAGATTATAAACATCCCCCCAGTTACCATGGTAACGGCCTAGCCGCCATGCTGCCTCCAGGCCTGAAGGTGTGCTCTGACTGAGGTCACCAGTGGAACCTGGAAGGAGACGGTTCTGGGAGGCGTCTTCATCGCTTCGTTAGTGGAGCGATGATGAGGAGGGTGAAGGACGGCGTTAAGGCGTGTCTCTGTCTTCCAGCTGGGTCCTCTGTGAGAACAAGCAGTTCTCTGGGAATATGTTCGTTCTATCGGAGGAAGACTACCCCAGTCCGGCCAGCATGGGCTGCTCCTCCAGCTGCTCCGTCTTCTCCATCAAACTGGTTCCGATGGTGAGGAACCTGAAGCTCTCCAGGTTTGGTTCTGAATGCTGAGTGGCGGTCTGTCCTAATGTCCCTCTGTGTGGACAGACGCTGTCGGTTCCGTCCATCTCTCTGTTTGGACTTGAGGGGCTGGAGGGCAGGGAGATCGCCGCCGAGTCCGAGATCGTCAGTCTGTACCAGGAAGGCTACAGCAACCACATCCTATCTGTCCGAGTCAAAAGCGGCTGGTCAGTGGAGTTCCTAGTCTGTGTCCCGGTCTCTGTCCCAGTCTGTGTCTCAGTCTGTGTCCCAGTTTGTACCAGTCTGTACCAGTTTGTCTGCCAGCTGACTCTAACTTGGTCTCTCTCTGTTGTGAAGTTGGGTGTTATGTGAACATACCAACTACAGGGGGCGCCAGTTCCTCCTGGAACCAATAGAAATCCCAAACTGGCCCAAGTTCAGCTCGCTGCACTCGATTGGCTCCCTGTACCCCGTCAGACAGGTAGGTTAACCAATCCGCTCATTGAAGCCTTTTGGTTTGAAAGCATCAGCCGAGTCATTGGCCGTTTCTCACCATGTGTACTTGTGCATCCTCGTGCACAAGTACACATGGTGAGTCCTCAGTCCTAGTCCAATTCACTAGAACAGCAGACCGACAAAGTCCCTGGATATTGTTCTGGCCCCTCCCTCTTTACCCAGCATGCACCGCAGCAGCTTCCAGTATAAAGTTAAAAGTTCTCTTTTCTGTTGCTGTTGTTTTATAAAAGTATGTTTTAGGATCATTTTAGGCCAGAAAATTATACTTTAAGCTTCACTATATTATATATAATTGACTGATTTAGTGCTTAATTAAAAAGTTGTGATGATGAGAGAACCGCGGCAACCAGCTGAGCTCCGAGGCTAACCTCAGCAAGGGCTAACGTTAGCCCGTCTGCAGCAGCCAGGTTAGAGAGAAGCTTGGTGAGGGAACATCTGACTGATTCCACGTCCTCCTCTTGCAGAAGCAGCACCTTTTCCGGGTGAAGAACCAGGAGAGCGGTCACTTCCTGTCGGTGCAGGGAGGAGTGGAGGAAATGAAGTCTGGTCGGGTGGTGGCGACGGCGGAGGTGGAGCCTCCCAGCGACATCTGGTTCTACCAAGATGGACTGATTAAAAACAAGGTGAAAACACAGACGCTGGAACCCTAAACTCGTTCCTAAGGTTACACATAGATCTAGACTGCATAGATTGACACTGAGCTTTCTCTGTTCTGCCACAGCTGTGCCCCACCATGTGTCTGCAAGTCATGGGTAGCGTGGAACCTGCGGCCAAGGTGGTTCTGTGGAACGAGACTCGCCAGCCGATCCAGACCTGGTCGGCCAAGATGGACGGCCTGATCAGCAGCCTGACCTTCCCTGGAATGGTTCTAGATGTTAAAGGTCAGTCTGTGGATCCGATGCCATGATGGAGACCCTGCTTGGTCCTCCTGGGTTTGACCCCACCCTAGGCCCCCCTCTGACCCCACTCTGGCCCCACTCTGATCCCCCTCTGGCTCCCCTCTGGCCCCCCCTGGCCCCACCTTGACGCCCCTCTGACCCCCCTCTGACCCCCCTCTGACCCCCCTTAGCCCCACTCTGACCCCCCTCTGGCCCCCCTCTGACTCCCCTTAGCCCCACTCTGACCCCCCTCTGGCCCCCCTCTGACCCCACTCTGACCCCCCTCTGGCCCCCCTCTGACTCCCCTCTGATCCCCCTCTGGCTCCCCTCTGGCCCCCCCTGGCCCCCCCCTCTGGCCCCTCTCTGGCCCCCCTCTGACTCCCCTCTGATCCCCCTCTGGCCCCCCCTGGCCCCACCTTGACCCCCCTCTGGCCCCTCTCTGGCCCCCCTCTGACTCCCCTCTGATCCCCTCTGACTCCCCTTAGCCCCACTCTGACCCCCCTCTGACCCCCCTCTGACCCCCCTTAGCCCCACTCTGACCCCCCTCTGGCCCCCCTCTGACTCCCCTCTGACCCCCCTTAGCCCCACTCTGACCCCCCTCTGGCCCCCCTCTGACTCCCCTCTGACTCCCCTTAGCCCCACTCTGACCCCCCTTAGCCCCACTCTGACCCCCCTCTGACCCCCCCTTAGCCCCACTCTGACCCCCCTCTGACCCCCCTTAGCCCCACTCTGACCCCCCTCTGACCCCCCTTTGCCCCACTCTGACCCCCCCTCTGGCCCCCCTCTGACTCCCCTCTGACTCCCCTTAGCCCCACTCTGACCCCCCTTAGCCCCACTCTGACCCCCCTCTGACCCCCCCTTAGCCCCACTCTGACCCCCCTCTGACCCCCCTTAGCCCCACTCTGACCCCCCTCTGACCCCCCTTAGCCCCACTCTGACCCCCCTCTGGCCCTCCTCTGACCCCCCTTTGCCCCACTCTGACCCCCCTCTGACTCCCCTCTGGCCCCCCTCTGACTCCCCTCTGACTCCCCTCTGATCCCCCTCTGGCCCCCCCTGGCCCCACCTTGACCCCCCTCTGGCCCCCCTCTGACCCCCCTCTGGTCCCCCTCTGGCCCCCCTCTGACTCCCCTCTGGCCCCCCTCTGACTCCCCTCTGACTCCCCTCTGATCCCCCTCTGGCCCCCCACTGACTCCCCTCTGACTCCCCTCTGATCCCCCTCTGGCCCCCCTCTGACTCCCCTCTGATCCCCCTCTGGCCCCCCCTGGCCCCACCTCTAACCCCCCCTCTGACTGCCCTCTAGCCCCCCTCTGACTACCCTCTGACCCCCCCTTTGGCCCCACTCTGACTGCCCTCTAGCCCCCCTCTGACTACCCTCTGACCCCCCCTTTGGCCCCACTCTGACTCCCCTCTGGCCCCCCTCTGACCCCCCTCTAAGCTGGTAGAGGTTCTGCAGAGGAACGGTCCAGCTGTGAATAGACTCATCCTAGTTATAAAGTCCAGTCCCAGCGTCTGTCCACATCTTCTGTCCTTCTTCTTTCCTCCAGGAAGCAAAACCTACGATAAGGAACATGTGGTGGTGATGCCGGAGAACGACGAGAGGGCGAGTCAGCGGTGGGAGATCCAGCTGCTGTAGCCGCCAGCTGAGACATGAACCTCCTGACTCTGGAGCTGCACGTTCTCCTGAACTCTGAGACCTTTACCATGGAGGCGGGGGGGGGGGGACTGCGAAGGTGCAGCAGAAGGACGTTCCGACCGCCGTCAGACCGGATCTCCACCGATCACATGGTTCTGCTGCAGCAGGCAGTAGGACATGGTGGAAGACGTGCTCTCAGGATGTTCATGTGTAAATGTGTGTTAGTCCCGCGGAGCTTCGCTGCAGCCATGATGTTCCTGATGGAACAATTTTAAAATCTCATTATTGCTTGGTGAACATGCTTCTCCTTAATATTTTATATAAACTCCACGATGATGATGATGATGATGATGATGATGATGTGTGTGAGGGAAGGGTTTAAAATTGTTTAATAAAGTGATAATAAGATGAACTTTCCTTTGCCAGCTGGTTCTGAAAATGAGCTCTAATCTCTGAAGAGCCTCGTTTACTGAAAACACATTCCACCTGTTAGGGCCCCCCCTGTGAGAACCCCCCCCCCCCGGTCAGGGGATATTGATGCATGTCTGAAATGAAATAATAGATTTAGCATGAAACCAATGACCAAACATGGTGACTCTGTGTTTGGTCCGCTGCTGCTCTCCTTTCCATCACCTGAAACATCCAGAGCTGCTGAGAGGAGCAGAGATCAGAAATATAAAACCAGTATTGACTGGAAAAGAATGTCTGTTTAAAAATATACATTAAGGCCCAATAATTCTTAAGATCTAAATATTTTAATAAAAAATTCATAAGTTTTACTGTATTTTCTATAATCACTTCCTGCTACACCAGGGGGACGGCCTGGCAGAGCAGAGGTGTTCAGCTGTTCCGTCCATTACAGGAGAATTAAGGATAAATAGCTGCTGCAGGGCGTGGTTAGCTAGAACGACCCATGTACGGAGGCCTTAATCCTCTACACAGGTGACCCGGGTTCGAATCCGGGTTCAATCCTTTGCTGCATGTCTCTCATGCCCCATTAAAAACAAAGGAAGATGGCAGCTGCTCTGAAAGCATCTTTGCAGACAATTTAGAACAAAGATGGTGATTAAAGCTCAATACTGAGGAGAAAGGAGGTCCTGGAACCTTTGCCATTATCATCAGGCAATTTAACTCTGCACAAGATAAATGATGGTGGGGGGCACTCTAGATTACCAACGTCTCGGTATAATCAGATATCTTCTGGTGATACAACCTTTCTCTCCGTGTTCAGTGGGAGCCCTCTGCAGAGGTGAAAAAAACACATTTTCACTCCTCTCTCCAAAAGAAAAGTTTTATTATGTATTTATATGTAAGCTATGTAGGTAGATTCTTTAGTATTATACTAATTTTTAGTGCATTTAAAAATTATTAACATACTTTAGTTTCTTTTTTAAATAGATTGCATTCATTTATTTTATTTTATTATGGAGAGGAGGACTGAACTAATTTTCTAGTATGTGATTTCTAATAATCTTTAAATCTATTAGAAATCTGTTTTTTAATTTTGTTTTTTAAATTTAATTTAAACTGCGGCGACAAGGTTCATCTCATCGTCTCTAAAAAGAAAAGGTTTGTTTTGATCCTCCTGCTGACCTCCAGGGACCTGGATGCCAGAAGTCGACCTTTCCTAACCTTCTAACGGGGCGTTGAGGCTGGAAGGCTGCTTCCTTCCTCCAGGTGGTTCTTCACACTTCCAACAATCGCTGCCCTCAGAAAAAATCAGTCCTTGGAAAATCCTGCCGTGAAAACGCCAATTTTAGTGGGAAAAATTTTTCATCTTTTCACCCCAATCAATGATTTCACTCAGTCTGTGTTTTATTTTTATTTCACTGCAAAGAGAGAACAGCTCTTCTCACAGTAATCAGTTCTGATCCAGCAGCGTTCGCTCCTCCTTACTGACAATCATGGAAAACAGTCAGAGTCAAAACTAATTACAGACACTTTGGTTAAACAGTAACATGTTATGAATAAACCTGAGAACGAATCTAGTTTGTTATGGAAAGAATCTACATCTGGTCTACAAACACCATCCTGCAGAGAATGATGCGGCCTTCAACAGAAACACACTGCAAAAAATATAAATCTCAATAAGTTATTTTTTCTTAAAATAAGTGTGCTTTTCCTTGATTTGAGGAGATAAGTAAGACACTTTGCCAATGGAACAAGACAATTTCCTTTTAAAATAAGAAAAAACTATTTTATCGTCTTATTTCAAGTAAATATTATCTAACTATCTTATTTTAAGAGTGAAAATACTCATTCCATTGGCAAATCATCTTATTTACCTGCTCAAATTAAGGCTAAATATACTTAATTTAAGCCATTTTTTACTTATTTCTGGATTGTTTTTGCAGTGCAGACTGAGTGAAAACTTTAATAGTGAGTAAATATGATAAATTAATATATAATAGAAGATAAATCAACATTTTTTGGACCGCAGTCCCTGAGGAGCAGAAAGGCCTGGAGAATAACCTAGATGTTGAAGGAGAGTTCTAGGTTGTAAGTTCTAGGTGGTTGTTGGGAAATGATCCTGTTAGATAATGACGTGTTTTCTTCTGTTCTGCTGAACAATAGAGATCAGATCTTTTCTAACGTGGTTGAAGGAGCCGTGAGGCTGCAGCAGCGCTGTGTTTGCAGTAACCACACAGGAGTCGGGTTTCTCTGCAGCAGCAGCAGGTTTCTGGTGGGATCAGGGCAGCAGGTTGGTCCCCAGAATAATCTGCTTTCAGTCTGATCTGCTCCTCACCTGCTCAGACATGATCTGGATGCTTCTTATCGGATTCCTCTGGTTATCCTAAAATCAGGAGCATCACTTCCTGTCAGAGCGGCCATTGGCTCAGAGTCATATTTCACTGGAACGAAACGAACTAACCTGCCTGTCAGGATTCCTGTTTATCCAGGAAACAATCATTTCCAGGTGGGCTGTAGGATCCTTCCCACTGACCAATGTGCTGCCAGAGTTTAGAGGATGCTGAGCTCTGATTGGCCGGGAGCTGTGCTGCAGCAGGTGGGTGTTCCTGCAGCAGCTGAGTCTGGTCAAGACCAGAGGAGCAGAAGGAGCCCAGAGTTCTGGTTCAGGTAAGTCTAGAGGGTCCGTCTCTCCAACTGGTCCAACTTTGGTTCCTTGTTCAGAACTTCAGGGTTCTGGTTCTGTTTGCAGGACTTTGTTGATGGTTGAAGAGACTCTGAGCTGAAGTTCATCTGGGTCATGGATCCTGATTTCTCCTCTTCTGTAAGTACCACCTGAACGGGTCCTGGACCTGAACGGGTTCTGGACCTAAACAGGCTCTGGACCTGAACGGGTTCTGGACCTGAACAGGCTCTGGACCTGAACGGGTTCTGGACCTGAACGGGTTCTGAACCTGAATAGGTTCTGGACCTGAACGGGTCCTGGACCTGAACGGGTTCTGGACCTAAACAGGCTCTGGACCTGAACGGGTTCTGGACCTGAACGGGTCCTGGACCTGAACGGGTTCTGGTTCTAACATGAAGGGAACCTTATCTGCATGTCCCTGTCCCCTGCGGTTGCAGGACATGTGGTGGGGGACTCTCGGTACCGTCCGGCCGTTCTCCAACTTCCATCCTGAGAGAGATGTGCAGGAGATCCAGGCGGCGCTGGAGAGGAAAGGTACGGGCCGGGTTCACTCAGCGACCCGCTCAGAACCGACGCTCTAATCTTTGTGGACTTTGTTCAGACGCGGTGACGCTGGTGAGGATTCTGACCAATCGCAGCAACGCCCAGAGACAAGTCATCGCCCAGAGCTTTGAGGAGCAAACAAAGCAGGTGAGGAAGGAGCCTCCCTGTGACTCAACATGTGACCCTGGGTCTCTGCTGCACTTTGATCCCTGAACTTTGTTTGCTCTCCAAACATTGAGGAGAACACACCTTAGTGTTCAGAAGGAGAAGCTCTGGAGCTCCTGGGATGTCTGGCTGCTTCCTGCCGCATTCCTTCATCCTAACATCTGATCTTCTCTCTCGTCACGTTCTGGCTCCTCCCTGCAGGGATCAGAGGGCAGGCTGACAAGCTGAGGACAGATCTAAGATGGGGGCGGGTCCAGGATCAGGCCTGACGCCATCCTCAGGTCTGCCCCCCTATCCAGCAGCTTTAGCCCCCCCCCCGCTTTAGAACCTCCTTTATTTCTAGGTTTCCACTCAGACTGCAGAGCAGCTGCTGCAGAGTGAGCTTAGTTCCCCCTCAGTGCTTCCATTAGGAAACAAAGTGGAGGAGGAGGCTCCTGATGGAGAACCTTCCTTTCACCGTTAGGGAGCTCCAGGTGTGGGACTGGGATCATCTCCAGATGTTTGATCCGTCGCTCTGCTCTGTGTTGAAGGACCTGAGTGCAGCTCTGAAGAAGGCTCTATCTGGAGACCTGGAGGACCTTCTGCTGCAGCTGATGATGCTCCCAGACCAGCTGGAGGCCCACCGGCTGAAGGATGCCATGGCGGTGAGCCTCTGGCTCTGTTTGGGTTTGTTCCTGGGGGGGGGGGTTGGGACCCGCTTCTGATGCCTCCAGGTGTCTGCAGGGTTTGGGCACCGATGAGGAAACACTGCTGGAGATTCTGTGCACCCGCTCTGGAAGGAGGCTGCAGGAGGTCAGCGCCGTCTACAAACGGCGTGAGTCTCTGGAGCCGCCTGCTGTCAATGAGACGGTTCCTTCCCGACTGTCGGCTCTCATGTAGATGTTTTTTCAGTTTATAAGAAGGATCTGGAGAAGGAGCTGAAAGCAGAGACCAGCGGAGACTTTGCTAAACTGGTTGTGGCGCTGCTGAATGTAAAGCAACTTCTTCTTCCTCCTTTAAGTGATAAGAAATGCAGATAAAAAGCAGGAAGTTCTTCACGTTGTTGATTTGTGGACAAATGAGAAAATATCTTCTAAGCCTTCCAGAGAAACCTTTCCAAAAAAGTTTTTAAAAAAAAACAATCCACTGGACTTTGTTTCCAAGTTTGAAGACGTTTCTCTTCCCATCCAGGAAGATTTTTTAATTCTAATTGCTCCAAAACTACTAAAAGCTTCGTGGATGGAAAGTAAAACGTCTTCCAACATTGTCCAGCGGTTGTTTTTGAACTTTTTTGGAATGACCTGAATGACTGAGAATCTTCACCAGCTTCCTGGTTAACATTCTCCAGAACTTAAAGCCAAACCTGGAACCTCCAACCTGAACATGTGTCCATTTACCTGTGGTCCTGACTTCCGAAAATTAGATCCTTTTCCTGTTTTGTCCCAACAGAAGGGTGTTTCTACAGGAGGTGTTCAGAGAGACGTTCAGGTATTCAGCCTCTTTCTGCTCTTCACACAGTCAGCATCATGTCTAACCTCTGAGTGAGGCAGAACCGGGCGACCAGAACCCAGCTGGACCCGCCGGACCTCAGAGGAAAACATGCTTACTGCTTCCTAGATAAAAGCACAAACTGACCTCAGATCTGCTCTGTTGGGGTGTTTCAAGGCTCTCGCTGCATCTCTGAGTGGGAAAAAAGCCGAAGCAGGTCCTTGGATCAACATCCTGACATCCAGAGACTCTGGTCACCTGAAGAAAGGTGAGTCTGTGACACGCTGAGGTCTGACGGTGGGTGACTGTGCTGACTGTGAGCGTCTGGCAGTGCTGATGGAGCTGGAACTGGAGACCGGCCAGATGGTGGATCAGACGGTGGAGAAACGCTTCTCGGGGGACTTTAGACTCGGTCTGCGGGTTCTGGGTGAGAACGGATCCAGGTTCAGTGTTTGTGGCTTTGGACCAGCTCCTCATGGTTCTGTTTGTGTGTGAACAGTTCAGTGCATCCAGAACCCGGAGGTCTACCTTGCCCAGAGGCTGGTCACCATGAAGGTGAGAGCAGTTGACCTCCATGTTGGAAAGCATTTGGTTCCAGGTGCAGCACATTGATGGGGAATTATTGGATTTATTAGGAGCTGCTGCTTCTAGAGCCGCCACCAGAGGGCAGCACTGACCTGCAGTAGATATTCTGGCTCCTCTCAGATCCAGACATGAATCTTCCCTTCTGGGAGTTTTTAACCTGCAGGAGTTCTGCTGCAGAAAGGAAAATATCTGTTAAATGTGTTGACATGAGCAGACTGAACCTCTAGGGGGCGCCTTTATATGATTATACTTCTGCCCACCGTGCCTGAGGTGAAGATGCTCTGCAGGAAGCAGGTTTCCTGGCTGTAGACCTGAGATAATCAACAGCTGAAATATTTTCAATTTCACTCCTGATTTATGCTTCAGATGTTTAAAGGTTTGTTCCAATCAATAAATGTAGAAATACTTTGAATAGAAGCAATAAACATGGTGAGAACCGGCTTGGAGAAGATCTGGTGTTTCTCCTGAGATGATGGTCAGGCTGTGCAGGTGATGACGTGTTGATGAATGGTGCCTCTCTGCAGACCTCATTGGTTCACGGCATCATGGTGTCCCACAGTGAGGAGGACCTGCTGGCCATCAGAGCCGCCTTCCTCAGACTCAGCGGATCTTCTCTGTTCTCTGCTCTGCAGGTCAGACTCATTTTCTCATTCTGGTCCTGCTGACCTCATGCTTCAGTTACTGACATGTTTGTTCTTTGATTGTCTCTCAGAACCATTTTAAAGGACAGCATCTGCAGGCTCTGCAGGCCGTCTGTCGGTCTGAAGACTGATCTGAATCTGCTGCAACAAGGAACCAGTTTATTCACATTTTACAGCCACTTTCTGACTCTTATCTGTAACTTCTACGTTTAGTTTCTGCTGCGTAACACCAGGATCCCACATGAAGCCGGATTACATTCACACCTGATATCATTCAGTCTGAAACAGTCAAACAAACCTGTTAAAGAACCGAGTCCGGACTCGTCTGGTTCTTTAACGAGTCCTGAGGGTCTGTCAGGGAAAACCGACGAGGAAACACTGCTGCAGATTCTGAGCTTAGATCAATTACATCAATAAAACTTTTGATCCTAATTTGTATCTTCATCATTCATTTAATTTGTTTGTTAAAATTTATCTGGTTTTAACTACCTGATCTATTAACATCATCATGAGCTCAACTGTGATTGGAGGAGCAGCTGAGGGAGGAGAACGGAGCAGCTGAGGGAGGAGAACGGAGCAGCTGAGGGAGGAGAACGGAGCAGCTGAGGGAGGAGAACGGAGCAGCTGAGGGAGGAGAACAGAGCAGCTGAGGGAGGAGAACAGAGCAGCTGAGGGAGGAGAACGGAGCAGCTGAGGGAGGAGAACGGAGCAGCTGAGGGAGGAGAACAGAGGAGCTGAGGGAGGAGAACGGAGCAGCTGAGGGAGGAGAACAGAGCAGCTGAGGGAGGAGAACGGAGGAGCTGAGGGAGGAGAACGGAGCAGCTGAGGGAGGAGAACGGAGGAGCTGAGGGAGGAGAACGGAGCAGCTGAGGGAGGAGAACGGAGCAGCTGAGGGAGGAGAACGGAGCAGCTGAGGGAGGAGAACGGAGGAGCTGAGGGAGGAGAACGGAGGAGCTGAGGGAGGAGAACGGAGCAGCTGAGGGAGGAGAACGGAGGAGCTGAGGGAGGAGAACGGAGCAGCTGAGGGAGGAGAACGGAGCAGCTGAGGGAGGAGAACGGAGCAGCTGAGGGAGGAGAACGGAGCAGCTGAGGGAGGAGAACAGAGCAGCTGAGGGAGGAGAACAGAGCAGCTGAGGGAGGAGAACGGAGCAGCTGAGGGAGGAGAACGGAGCAGCTGAGGGAGGAGAACAGAGGAGCTGAGGGAGGAGAACGGAGCAGCTGAGGGAGGAGAACGGAGCAGCTGAGGGAGGAGAACGGAGCAGCTGAGGGAGGAGAACAGAGCAGCTGAGGGAGGAGAACGGAGCAGCTGAGGGAGGAGAACGGAGCAGCTGAGGGAGGAGAACAGAGCAGCTGAGGGAGGAGAACAGAGCAGCTGAGGGAGGAGAACGGAGCAGCTGAGGGAGGAGAACGGAGCAGCTGAGGGAGGAGAACGGAGCAGCTGAGGGAGGAGAACGGAGGAGCTGAGGGAGGAGAACGGAGCAGCTGAGGGAGGAGAACGGAGCAGCTGAGGGAGGAGAACGGAGCAGCTGAGGGAGGAGAACAGAGCAGCTGAGGGAGGAGAACGGAGGAGCTGAGGGAGGAGAACAGAGCAGCTGAGGGAGGAGAACGGAGCAGCTGAGGGAGGAGAACGGAGCAGCTGAGGGAGGAGAACGGAGCAGCTGAGGGAGGAGAACAGAGGAGCTGAGGGAGGAGAACAGAGGAGCTGAGGGAGGAGAACAGAGCAGCTGAGGGAGGAGAACAGAGGAGCTGAGGGAGGAGAACGGAGCAGCTGAGGGAGGAGAACGGAGCAGCTGAGGGAGGAGAACGGAGCAGCTGAGGGAGGAGAACAGAGCAGCTGAGGGAGGAGAACGGAGCAGCTGAGGGAGGAGAACGGAGCAGCTGAGGGAGGAGAACAGAGGAGCTGAGGGAGGAGAACAGAGGAGCTGAGGGAGGAGAACAGAGCAGCTGAGGGAGGAGAACAGAGCAGCTGAGGGAGGAGAACAGAGCAGCTGAGGGAGGAGAACGGAGCAGCTGAGGGAGGAGAACGGAGCAGCTGAGGGAGGAGAACAGAGCAGCTGAGGGAGGAGAACGGAGCAGCTGAGGGAGGAGAACGGAGCAGCTGAGGGAGGAGAACGGAGCAGCTGAGGGAGGAGAACGGAGCAGCTGAGGGAGGAGAACAGAGCAGCTGAGGGAGGAGAACGGAGCAGCTGAGGGAGGAGAACGGAGCAGCTGAGGGAGGAGAACAGAGCAGCTGAGGGAGGAGAACGGAGCAGCTGAGGGAGGAGAACGGAGCAGCTGAGGGAGGAGAACAGAGGAGCTGAGGGAGGAGAACAGAGGAGCTGAGGGAGGAGAACAGAGGAGCTGAGGGAGGAGAACAGAGCAGCTGAGGGAGGAGAACAGAGGAGCTGAGGGAGGAGAACAGAGCAGCTGAGGGAGGAGAACAGAGGAGCTGAGGGAGGAGAACAGAGGAGCTGAGGGAGGAGAACAGAGCAGCTGAGGGAGGAGAACAGAGGAGCTGAGGGAGGAGAACAGAGCAGCTGAGGGAGGAGAACAGAGGAGCTGAGGGAGGAGAACAGAGCAGCTGAGGGAGGAGAACGGAGCAGCTGAGGGAGGAGAACGGAGCAGCTGAGGGAGGAGAACAGAGCAGCTGAGGGAGGAGAACAGAGCAGCTGAGGGAGGAGAACGGAGCAGCTGAGGGAGGAGAACGGAGCAGCTGAGGGAGGAGAACAGAGGAGCTGAGGGAGGAGAACGGAGGAGCTGAGGGAGGAGAACGGAGCAGCTGAGGGAGGAGAACAGAGCAGCTGAGGGAGGAGAACGGAGCAGCTGAGGGAGGAGAACAGAGGAGCTGAGGGAGGAGAACGGAGGAGCTGAGGGAGGAGAACGGAGGAGCTGAGGGAGGAGAACAGAGGAGCTGAGGGAGGAGAACAGAGCAGCTGAGGGAGGAGAACGGAGGAGCTGAGGGAGGAGAACAGAGGAGCTGAGGGAGGAGAACGGAGGAGCTGAGGGAGGAGAACGGAGCAGCTGAGGGAGGAGAACGGAGGAGCTGAGGGAGGAGAACGGAGCAGCTGAGGGAGGAGAACGGAGCAGCTGAGGGAGGAGAACGGAGCAGCTGAGGGAGGAGAACAGAGGAGCTGAGGGAGGAGAACAGAGGAGCTGAGGGAGGAGAACAGAGCAGCTGAGGGAGGAGAACAGAGCAGCTGAGGGAGGAGAACAGAGGAGCTGAGGGAGGAGAACAGAGGAGCTGAGGGAGGAGAACAGAGGAGCTGAGGGAGGAGAACAGAGCAGCTGAGGGAGGAGAACAGAGGAGCTGAGGGAGGAGAACAGAGGAGCTGAGGGAGGAGAACAGAGCAGCTGAGGGAGGAGAACAGAGCAGCTGAGGAAGGAGAACAGAGGAGCTGAGGGAGGAGAACAGAGCAGCTGATGGAGGAGAACAGAGCAGCTGAGGGAGGAGAACAGAGGAGCTGAGGGAGGAGAACAGAGGAGCTGAGGGAGGAGAGGATTTAATTTCTGTTTTCAGTAAAAACATCTTTACATAAGTGGGGGCGCGGCCCCCCAGGCGTGGGATGGTTTTTATATCGTTGCATTATAACACATATCACAAAAGACCGAAAGGTAAATGCAAAATAAAGAAAATAAATGCATCAATAAAAGATGTAAAGTCTATTTATTTATTATATTAACATGTTTCACCGTTTAAATCCTCTGAAGGCCTCGTGGGAAAAAAGTCTTCAACTATTCATCCAGTTAAATAAACGGAGATCGATGGATTTCATTAAGTCCACATTTATTAAATATCTTTGCAAAGAGAGAACAGATCATCATGAAGCCCTAATGGCAGCAAGATGAACTGTTCTGATCTAACCCCCCCCCCACTGATAACTATGGAAAACAGTCAGAGTCAAAACTAATTACAGACACTTTGGTTAAACAGTAACATGAATAAACCTGAGAAAGAATCTGGTTTGTTATGGAGGAAGCTATGATTGATCTATAAACACCATCCTGCAGAGAAACAGACTGAGCGAAAAACTTTTATAGTGAGTAAATATGAAAATTAATATATAATAGAAGAAAGATAAAAAAAAATTCCGACAACAAGCAACAATTCATTTTACTGAGGGAGAATTCAAGAAAAATCTTACAATTCTAGAAATTTAAAGATTTTCCTTAAATTGACTAAAACCTTTAATGTGGGAATTCTCTGTGAATATAAACCTTAATCTTTATATATTTAATCAAAACCTCATCATAGATCAAAGGATAAATCCCATCCCTGCTCCTCCTCCTGCTCATGTTCTCCTCCAGCGTTCAGTCGATGCAGGAAATGATTCCTTTGGCCGTAAAATTCCTCACTTTAAGGTTTGAGGCTCAGAGGATGGAGAGGTGGAGCAGAAGAGGAGCAGCAGAGAGCAGCAGAGGAGCTCTGAAGGCACCACGTACACACAGGGCATTGCTGCTGCTGCTGTTGCCGCTGTTGCTGCTGCTGGTGTTTGCAGTTGTTAAGTCCGTGGGTGGTGCAGCTGTCGAGTTGATTGTTGTTGCAACTGTCGACTCGGTGGTGATTGCTGATGTGAGGTTGGTGGTGATTGCTGATGTGAGGTTGGTGGTGATTGCTGATGTGGGGTCGTAGGTGTTTGTTGATGTGAGGTTGGTGGTGATTGCTGATGTGAGGTTGGTGGTGATTGCTGATGTGGGGTCGGTGGTGATTGCTGATGTGAGGTTGGTGGTGATTGCTGATGTGGGGTCGGTGGTGATTGCTGATGTGGGGTCGGTGGTGTTTGTTGATGTGAGGTTGGTGGTGATTGCTGATGTGAGGTTGGTGGTGATTGCTGATGTGGGGTCGGTGGTGTTTGTTGATGTGAGGTTGGTGGTGATTGCTGATGTGAGGTTGGTGGTGATTGCTGATGTGAGGTTGGTAGTGATTGCTGATGTGAGGTTGGTGGTGATTGCTGATGTGGGGTCGGTGGTGTTTGTTGATGTGAGGTTGGTGGTGATTGCTGATGTGAGGTTGGTGGTGATTGCTGATGTGAGGTTGGTGGTGATTGCTGATGTGAGGTTGGTGGTGATTGCTGATGTGGGGTCGGTGGTGTTTGTTGATGTGAGGTTGGTGGTGATTGCTGATGTGAGGTTGGTGGTGATTGCTGATGTGGGGTCGGTGGTGATTGTTGATGTGAGGTTGGTGGTGATTGCTGATGTGAGGTTGGTGGTGATTGCTGATGTGGGGTCGGTGGTGTTTGCTGATGTGAGGTTGGTGGTGATTGCTGATGTGGGGTTGGTGGTGATTGCTGATGTGGGGTCGGTGGTGA